CACCCATCTTACCTAGGTATATCTTACCCCATACAAGGTACCTGGGCAGTTGCCAACAGACTACAAGAGCGGTGCTGGATGGCGCCCAACACTCGCGGTACCGGTCCCCTCCTCATCCTCCTCCAATATGACATGAAAGTAAACTCATACCACACTGTATACAATACTACACCATTCTCACACTTGCAGAACTGCGAGATGTTCATTCACGTAAGAACAAGGTAGCAAATTCACTAGCCCTAGCTTCGGTGCCATGTCCTTCCCCGGATAGGTAGGCATGTGTGCGGCGATGTAGGGGGTTTCCAACCAGCCAATAGTTAACATTTCGGGTAAGGTCAAGATCGTTGGGTGGCACGGACGTGGAAGGGTACCTGTAGAGGGAGATAGGTAGGTGGAGTAGTAGATAGATAGGGGTATAGAGATGTCTACGGTATGTAGAGGTATGTTTGTGTGTACCTAGGTAGGAGAAAGGGGTAACCACTATTACGTGTTCCTGTTCATGCCATCGGCTCTATCCACCTCCTCAAGGTGAGCTACGGCGTGGGAGGCGGAGTGGGGGTTGGGCTAGTCAGAAGGTTAGGACGGGAACCCCGACGGAAGCTGATGGGTCACGTTCCCGTCTCTAGAAGATCTGTTGTGGATATACTTGTAGGTGCCGTGGCTGGTTCAATCTCCCTGTATCTGACGGTCGCGACGAGACACAAATAGCCCTGTCTTCGAAGTTATCGTGAAGATAACGTTCGTACTTCTGGCTTCTCTGGTACCTGAGAATCGGCCGGAATATTTCTCGGAAGTTAAGGTAGCGTAGACACCTAAGCTAGGGGGTAGTGATGATCCCCCCCCCCCGGGCGCGTAGGATAGGACCGAGTGGCATACACTAACTAGTACTTGCTGTGCCCTCTCCGTGCTGAAGAGCGGACTTGTGTCTATGATCACAGCAGGTTCTGCGGCAAGAAAGGACCTGGGATCTGCATGGCGAAGCATCGTGTAGGTAAGGGAAATGGTGGTGGTCAATCATCCTTGCGTTGGTTGAAACACCCTTCTGTGGTGCTATACCGCTATTAGCTGCCCCCATTATCGGTATACGTTGGCCGCAAAGTTAGAGCCTCCTTTTCTCATCAATGTGTAGATGTCGGGCATTAAACGAATTCTTCGGTTGTGAGGGACCGAGCTTGAAACAATTTAGGTGTTTATTCTACCAATTGATTAGCCTACCAGCGGCGTCCTTTAAAATGAAACCTCCGTCACTGCGGCCTCAGTGTCTCCTGAAACCTCAAACTGTTAACAGAAAAGTACGTTCCCACCTACGGGCCGCCAACACTTTATCCTCGGTGTGCTTGCGTGCCTATCGGCATGTTTATCTCGACATTGTGGGTTTTCTTTTTGGTCATGAGCACAAGCCAACTCAACCCAGAGCTCACAGAGCCCATGAGACACCAACTGTGACTCCATATTAGAGTGTAAATGCCAGCTTGATTGTTTGGTTTGCGAGTGTCTATCCACCAAGCAAGCGTCGCTTCCACCGCTCTCCGCTTTTTGTAATTGGAAATGCAGTTGGTTCTTGCCACAAAAGAAAGCGCCCCGCTCTTTTTTTCTTCCTCGCAAAAAAAAAAGGGCAAAACTCGACTTCATCACTCGAGGATGTGAACCACTACATGGTATTAGAACAAAAACCTACTTTCATATCTTATATGAACAAAGTAGTGGCACATATATTCGAAGGTTTCGTTTAGTTTTAACAGTTTATAGTTGTACAACAGAGATGCACACTTAGCGTCGCACTGATAAGAAAAAAGAAAACTCGCTTATTGCGAGCTTACAAGACACTGTAGTAGACTGGAAATTGAATTCGGATTGTGGTTGGAGTTTGCGATTAAATTATCATTGGACTTATACTTGGAATGAAAAAATCACTTCCTTTATAACTTTTTCGTATCAGAAAGTATCCAATCTTTTCACACCTGTTTAGATCTTCTCCGCGAGTTGAAATATCTGCGGATTAAAGTAGGGAGGTTTGGTGGTTTGGTGGTTTGAGGTGTGAAATGAAGAACGGGTCATTGTTTTGGTGACAGACACTGTAATCCAACTTGTTCGGATATAAGCATGCAACGATGAGGAAATCGCATGACTTGACCAGCCATTGTTCTCCGGAACCTTGCAGGTAGGAGGTTACCTCTACTGTAGTACAGCACCTGAAAAGCTTACGTTTGGTGGGGAGCGAGTTGATGGGGTTCTCGCCAAAGTCTACGAACAAGCATTGTGCGCTGTGAAAGCTTCAATCTGCAAGGTTCTTCACATTTCACACCTATCCCAGTACATGGTGGACACTGAACCGCCGGGTTGCGACCCGTCAAGACATCAGTGAAGCACGTTCCATCCAGGAGGTATCGACTCTAGAGTTCCCGCGGTGATGTTTCTTGGAAGAGTATCTCTAACGCCTTTGAACCTGGCTTTTCGTCAACGACTGACTGGTTTCTCATCACAGAACAAGCAGGGTATATCTCCATGGAGTAAATTCCCACAATGACAGACCTCCAATAGATACGCTTTTCTCAGCACGACGAATCTCTTCTGCTATTGAATTCATTACTGCTCTTCAAAGACATGCGTCCGTCCATGTTGGGACGGGTTTCGCAGACATGATTTTGTCAAAACGCCTTGTGCTGGAGGTGATGGACATACCCGAATGAACTCCGCCAGACTCCAGTTGATTTCCGCATTCACTCTTTGTGGTCTGATGATGATTTTCATTATGCAGTAGTGTCTGAATAGTCCATATACCTCGTCACCACAATGCAACGTCGGTTTAGCAGGGCTCAAGTCGCACTCCACTCTCGCTTTGAGGGACCCCCGGGCTCGCAACCCATCGCTTAAGTAAAAGAGGCACGGAGGTTAGTGAGTGGAAGAAAGAGGCCGGAAATCTGGCTGCCTTGGGAAAACACATGCTACCGTTCCACGAGGTTCTCGTTTCTTTTTTTTTTTTTTTTTCTCCCTTTTTTTGGGGTTTATGGTCGTGGTCGATGGAGAAAAGCAGGTCAAGGTCACTTCAACATCGACAGCGTAGTATTTTAATCTTTTATCTGGCCGGCTCCTATAGGCCCGGATGCCATGCCGGGGAAGAACCCTTGGCTTTCAGTCTCCAGTCATCGAGTGTTTGGAGTTATTTGGTAATAGTGTATTTCATGGAACCGTTAGCGTTCTGTGGTTTCTTTCCTGTTTTATTGATATTCACGGTGCTCTCATTTTTGAACCTGAGATTGGTAGTCGACCTCTAGTACCGGAAAATACTCGATAACACGCTTAGCTCCATGGCACTCGGGAGATGATCAACTCGGTCCCGGCTGCCATGAATATCTGTAAGAAGATCCCAGAAAACAGAACAATGTTTGTATTAAAACGAATGTATCTGGAAGGGGTGGAGGGTTCCCATGTAGCGTTCTTTTTTATTTTCAACTTGTTGCCCATTTGAGACATGTCCTAATGGAGGAGAATATCTCAATGGGAAGGGAACACTGAATTGAGCGCAGCCAGGGTTTTCCATTGCGCTGGTTGTACCTGCCTACCCAGCACGGAGCTGTCGGGAAGAGAACCTTGACGGCCACGGGCTAGCGGTTCATCGGCGAACGTACCTCCCTTTCATGAGTATCATGAAGTGAACTGCATGCAGACTGGAGGCGATGTATGGTACCCGTCATGCCGCCAGCATGAGGTAGCACAACGATAACCGGAATTTGTCAACTTCAATGCAAAACTGAAGTTTGAGGCTATTCTTGCCCATTTTCAATGAGTATCTCTATCTGGATAAACAGGCGAGGCAAGGTGACCATACGCTGGGGTAGCTATGACAAACGTCAGATGAAGGGGTCCTGAAATACAATTCAGCCCTGGTTTGTTTGTGAATAAGAAAGCTCAAGCTTTACTGGTTATAGAATATATCTTGGCTTTCTTTCTGGTGTTTTATAGTCTCAAAGGCCTATCTTCCGGTCTTGAGGGCCTTGAAAGCGACAGAGAGATATCAGAGGACACCCATCAGAGGCTTCTGCAGCGTTACAAACCCTTGCCATTATCTCATATCGCCTTGAAGGGAGGACAGTTTCTCTCTTGAAGGGCCAACAAGAGCTCCAAAACTTCCCTGTTCACCCATGATCGAGATACCAAACTAGCAAAAATATCAGCATTGTATTGTGCCTGGCGTACATTTGTTGCTGAAGCATGTGTCCATCCAGCTTCGGGGTTGCTTGCCCTACAAGGCTACAGGGGCTGGGTTTTGTACACAGTACAGGCCTGGGAGATGGCCGTATGGTGTACCTGCTGCATCCCTGCTGAAGGGACTGTGATGTAACAGAGGCAGTGCTCTGTGTGTCGCTGCGTAACTTGATGATACACCGGAGTGAGGGCAGGTTTCAATGTTGGATTTGGAGAAAATTAACAGCAATGTCTTAAATACCTTGCTTTTTGCCATGTGAAGATTTGAGAAGAGGAAGAACGGAATATGCCACTCAGTTGCATAGGGGCATCGTCTCGGAGCTAAACCGCCCAGGCCTTCCATATAAGTGTGTTTGAATCCAATGTTACGGAGTTGTGAACTCATAAGGAGACAGTATGACTGCGCTGCGCCGCCACCGACCGACCTCCGAGGTAGTTGATATGCACAACGTTGAGCATACTCGGCATTCCGCGCAAGTACCTCGTACATCCAATAAACTAGGTAGACTTTAACGGACACTGACGAAGAAGGAATCCCGTGATCCCGTTTCTTGATCGTGGAGATGCTGCCCAACCGGGTCCGTACCTGGTGTACAATAGCAGGCCATCGAGGTCAGTGAAGCTGAATTAGAGATGAGAGTGAGTGCGGCATGGACTCCCCGGAAGCTGGAATCCAGGCGGGGGGGTGACGGCGTTGTGGAACCAGGATTGTGATACCAATGCACAATTCTGCAAGCCAGAAATGGTGAAGTCGGTGACCTTAACAATTATTGCTGAGAACCAATGAGAGATGGTCAATCGCAGGCCAATATGGATCCTAGGTCGCTCAGAGCTCGATTACGGGTGACCAACGGCATCGTGTCCCCGCAGGAAAGCGGTCCCCGGTCCGCTGTCCGGGAATCAGCCAGTCAGGTCAGCAAACGTTTGGATATTCGGGGGGAAGGGGCAGAGGAGCGATCTGATGACGCGTTTATGCTTCCAGTCGAGAAACCTCAAGAACAAAACCACCAAGTTGAAGATAGCCCTTGAACGTATCATCATTCATACTTCAGTAACATGCATAAGGGAGAAGTTACCTTGAGGGGAATTAAAGTCTTACCGACTTTCCATAATAATTGGTGGTTTTGGGAGATAGGTAGGTACACCAAGTGGTGTAATGAATAAAATACGGCACATCGCAAGTCCCAACTGCATGGCCGGTCGAGCCGGTGTCCCCTGCCCGAATTTGCTGTCCTGCCACTTTGATCGCCAAGCCCACTTCGGCCTTGATGGCGTTTTGTGGATGGTCTGCCCGCCGGGCCGTAAACGTCGGGAAGGATGGAGACAGCCGAACAACGTTGATCGGCATGGTGGAGGAATTGTAGTTCAAAAGTGCATCGTTTGTTCAGTTGAACGCTTGGGAATATGACAACTTCGGTACAATGTTGGAGCTATACTATTGGAAGTATTTCCATATGAGTGGTTGCTGTTGGCTCCAACATTGTGCGGGCTGTAGGTTTCCCCTTGGCAGCGGGGCAGGGCACTGGAACCTGAGCTGGGGCATCCCGTCTGTGATTGAACAATTAGCCGCCCACAGTCTAGCGCCTACGCTCTGTACTGTGAATTATACCTACCTACATAGAAACATTCTTCCTGTCCATTCTCACATCATCTGTGAACTAGCCCAGGTTACTTTTCTCTCCAAACGTAGCGATAACGAGAGCTTAGCTGTGTCTGGTTGTGAGCACACATGAATTTGCGTTGCAAGCAAGGAGTATCTGCCCAAGTGATGACTAAGTGGCTGTCTGCTCAGAATTGAAGCTGTGCCCTGGTTACTTCATCGAGAACAGTAAGTCTATGTGGTTGGACCTTGATTCCAGCCGTGCGCAAACATCCATGTACGCTGAGAGGGCTTCTGGATCACAGATGTGAACGAGTACTACTAGCCTAGCCCTATGTCCTTATCAGTTGTTGGTTGCCACCTGATATATTGTAACTAGCCGCCATAATCTGACTGGAAATCGGTAATACGTAGGCACAACATGGTTGATGCTACAACGGCCTATCCTATCATCACTTATCGGGAAAGAGACGTGTCAGACTTCAAAACGGTATCCAATATTCTTCAGCCGTAGTACCTGAGCTCAGGACGTTTAGTTCAATGACTACGGAGGCAGGTCAATTTCTGTGGTCAAGCGTCTACCGTTTGTGCTTGTAGGCTGTTGGTCGATCTATATTTTCAATACATCGGGATCCGTGTTAATATCTGAGGTGGAGCGTCACCAGCTGGACGAGACATTCGTTAGATGATGGCGAAGCTGTTTACTTAAGACTTCTGACGACGCCCGGCATCCGTACTGTGAGCAGCAGCTCGTGGAGGCGGTTGAACGAATTCCTGGTTGTGTTTGTATTTCGCATCGATGCAGTGGAAGGTTTGGAAGAGGAAGAAGGTATGTAGCGCGATTGCACTGATCCATGTACCTTGAGCTCTCCCCGCATGTGCCCCACTGCGCTGGGCAAAGCAGTGCAGATGTTTCCGGATACTGTACTCCAGGTCGCCAGCACCCAACACGCGCACTGCAGTCGAACCAACAGAACGTTTAGTGAGCCTTGCGGAAAGTGGCGGCCTGGCCTGCGCCTACACTACACCTTTACCGTACTATGTACACTTTGCCGACGACGAAACAGGCGCGCGGAGCATCCATCGTCTGGTCGTCTAATGACCAGTCACAATAAAGACCCAGCCTTCTCCCGTCATCTCGTCTGTCATCAAAGATTTGCTGCTGCCTCGCTCTATGGAATCAACCTTGTCCCCGTCCAGTCACGGTGTTTTCCCAAAGTCGACTACTGTGGACGAGGCAAGGATCCTTTCAGAAGCAAATCCGTCTTTCTCAATTCAAGTCAAGCTTTCTTCATGTCTTCGAGCCCACACTTCGTGCAGGCCGTTTCAGGTGACATGAACACCAGCCGATAGCTTCCTTTCTTCCACTTTTGCCTTGTTGCGCCGCGAAGCTGCCATATGAACAAGGCTCATCGAGGCCATCTTCATGACTTCCACGGTCTGCTCACACCCTGCCCATGATACCTAGACGGAAAACCCCGCCAAACAGGACGGCGGCCAAAGTGGGAATGCGCGAGAGAGGCAAGCACAGCCAAGATGATGAAGGTGCTGTGTCGTTGTCCACATGGCACCGTTGATTCGCTTTGACCTAGTCAGTTAGTAGGGTCCATATCTGCCCCCCTGTCAGCGTTGCTGCAATCCTGCCCCGTTAGTTGACTAAACCTCAAATCACCAGCACCGATGCTTTCTCTTCCCTCGATGAACCCATTCCTCTTCCAAGCTAACCTGCGGGCAAACGCAGATTTCAGGTCAGTGACCGCTGCTTTTGTTGACCTGGCCATCTTTCATTCAACCACAACTTTTGCATGGCATCACCAAAGTCCGGCTCCCAGACAAAATCTGCGCGCCCCGGCCAGGATACACGCGCCCACCTCATACCACGTAGTCGGGGAGTTACTCGCTCGAGTTAAGACGATCTAGACACGCCTCTACATTCCAGCCTCTATCACCGCCGCCGCCGCGGGTACCTATTGTCTTGTTGTACGACACAAAATGGGTGGCAGCAGATGGGTTTGCACTCTCCAGGCCAGACCTCAAGCTCGGTCTACGTATCTTGCCTCGAAAATGTCCGCTGTCTGGAGCGTCTCGACGCCACCGCTGTGATATCCGACTTTAGATTGCGGTAGATGAAAATCACGGCGACATGGCACAGTCGAACGGCTAGTACACAGCGAGTTTTTACTCAGTTGTTCAAGGCCTATGGGACAGAAAATGAATCAGCCTAGTATGGGCGCCATAGTCGTTTTCCATCGCCCACGCCACGCCTATTTACCCTTAATCCAGCTGAGCTCTTCCTCCCCTTGAAAGCATCCATGTTCTTTCTTGCAACCTCCCTGCCTCCTGTAACTCCTTGGTGAAAGCTTATAATAATGGACAGTGGAAGCGCAAAGTTGGCTGGATCCAGCAACTAACCTCCGTACGTTTCCTTAATGTCCATTCACAGCTTCCTCATTAGTCCCCCAAATTCAGCAAGCATTTCCGTGTACCGTGTACACCATGTCATACAAAGTTGACCTACATGCCCCATCTTGAGATGTTAATGCGGTACGTTCCCATGTGCAAGTATCTGGCATTGAGCCCGCCAGTACCAGTGAACATCTACTCTCTAGCCCCAGTAGACGTTGACATCCTCTACTTGACAAGGTACTGGCTGTCTCACTGACTACGTATTCATTGGTTCGCAGCCAAATGGTATCTGTTGCTGCGTATACATACACCCTTTTGTCCTCACACTATGTATCCTCAGTCACTCTTTGTCCCCTTGACCAACCTACCCCTGTACCTACATATGCTCCCTGGCCTCTAGACTCTAGCCTCTATCCCCCCTGTTGTGGTGCCCCCCTCCCCCCCCTTGCCCCTGTCTTTCTTTTCTGCCCTGTCTCCGACCCCGACCTAGGCCTTCCTGAACAGGTTCAAGCCAGGCCGGCTACCCACGCATGCATGTCCCCTTGGCTTTGATACTCTAATTCCTTCTGTTGTGCGCTAAGCTACGCTGGTGTGGGTGTTCAGGAGCTTCACCCTTCGCCTTACATGGATGAACCTCGAGTACCCACATGGGATACTGTGGGGATGTACTGCCTCCCGAATGTTATAAGCCATCCTCGGCCCATGCCCTATACAGGGTTGGGGCTGAGGGACTTCTTTGGATTCCCAAACTTAGAACGCAAACCATCTGGCAACCTAGATTTCGATTAAGCAAAAGTCAAGCCCATCAAAAGACACCAGTCGGTCAATCATCTCACATAAATCGAAGACTCGACTCCGGATCCAGTGGTGATATCTTGGCCACCATCGTCAACGCCTTCACTTTAACAGTACAAGAAAGATCGGATCACCAACAACGTATGTGGTGCTTACAACCTTTTAACTTTTTTTATGTTTCTGTCTTAGAAAACCCCAAATGGGCTCTCAATATTCACCTTCGAGTTTCGACGAAGCTTACTCAGACAAAAGCAGTTCGAATCAAAACAACAACCCATCTTCAACCGATACGCTGATTCAAACTTTGCAATCTGTCGAGTCTTTGGAAAGTCAACAGCTGTTTGAAACAGCTCCGTATAGCAACCCTCAAAACCAGTTACTCTTTCCGGCCCGACCACAAAACCTACTTTACGCAAACTGCCTCGACTTCGATCTCTTCCGGACCCACGGTGAAGAGTTACCTCGATCCAGTCTCGCAACTGAATCCTATCTGGTCTCCGCTCCTCCATTGACGGAAACTGATAAGTCAAGAATCATGAGGTATAGTTCAGACAACTCAAATTATCAGCGGTCATATCCAACACTAACTTGAAGCCCACCTAGTGCACTCGCCTTACAGTACGACAACAATTTCGCTATGGGTTCGCGATCATCCTTTACATGGCCAGGTCAGTAGCCATAAGCGATCTTGATCGAACAGATCAGCTCACAATCAAATAGTCTTGGACTCCGGATCCGGTCTCATGAGCCCCGAATTCGGCTCATACGGGTCAGATAGTAGCTTCGCAGGATCAAGATCCGGAACGGCGAGCCCACCCAGGACATCACTAAGTGCGGAGCAGCGCGAACTCAAGAGGCAACGAGACCAAGCCCGGCGTGACTCGAAAATGCACATCAGGGGTCGCAGGGCGGGAAGCAGCTCCTCATCTGGCGTCTATTCACCACCTCCTTCGTTGGCAGTCATGTCGTCAGGCGCTCCTGGCATGCCTATCTACACAAGCGCTGGCCCTGTCTCGCTACTGGCTGAAACTCACACCACCCGTTACCATGCGCAATTCTCGCCACCTCTTTCAGACCATCACAACACTCAGTCCAACATGTACCATAACTCATATCCCACACCCACATACATCAACGATTATGGCTATCCTGCACCGGCCACTCCAAGCTTGCCCTCTTACTACGGGTAAGTTCTTCTCCATAGCGTCCTGGTGTTAAAGAACTATCATGCTAACAAAACTACATACAGTCGCCAAATGTCTGACTCAAATATCATGTACCCTGTTTCACCTCCAGCAATGGGAGGTAGCCCTCAGGATACCGCCGGGCAGGTTAGAGTCGTGCAGCCCAGGCCGAAGCCGCAATGCTGGGAACACGGATGCAATGGCCGTCAATTCTCAACCTTTAGCAACCTCCTACGTCATCAAAGGGAGAAGTCTGGACAGGCGACAAAGGCAACATGTCCGAACTGCCACGCCGAGTTCACAAGGACTACTGCGAGAAACGGGCACCTATTGCACGACAAATGCAAACAGAAGCGGATCGGAAGCTAGATATCTAAGAAAAGAAAGAAGGGGAAAAAAGGAGGGAGACAAAAACAAAACAAGATCCAGGAGACAGAGACGTGGGACCGCCCAATGCGGGTATTCGTTTCATATACGAAATTTGCATACATATACATTTTGGGGTTTGAACCGGAATCTTGGCAGCGAACATAACGAAACGGGCTGGGAGGAACAAGGTACTGATAGCTATTTTGAGACCTCTGCTGGATGGAACATGTCGAACTAGAAACAACCACTTAACGACAAGATCTACAGGTCGTACAAATGAAAAAGCACAAACAGCGGTTGATTCAAAGCATTTCAGATTTGATTCCAATTTGGATCTGATGGCTTTCTCATAGGCATGGAGCCCATACAGATGTTCCCCCACACTGGTTTTCTTCATCCGTCTTATCACAGACGTCCGTCTTCCCGCATCGGGGATTTTAATCATGCTTAAGCAATCACTCCCTTCTCCGTGTGCTTATCGAAAGCTTGGCCCTGCAGCAGCCTGCTGTGGCGTCCCCTTTTTACAGTGATTGGGTTCGAGTAGCATGCCCACTACCCTGGCGGGTGGATATACTTGGCGTTCTATCCTTTTGCTATCCAGATTGACCAGGGACAGCTCCTTAAAACGGACATCACTAGCGAGGCGAGTGCTGGTGAGCAGATGAGGGCGGAGGAAAGACGAGGGAGTATGTCCCATGGTATGGTATGGAGGTACATACATACGACTAACCTTGGACGTATGTAAGTACACAAGGTATTCCAAATCAATTGCATACCAGCGGGCCTTTTCCCTTTTTCAGTACTCTACACAAAGAGTCTGTAGAAGTATCACATGTACCTACCCGACCTCGCCGACCTGAACCCTCGGATTATCTTTCAAGGCCAGGCCAGGCTCGCCGAAATAGGCTGGCAAGAACGCCGACGGGTACCTCATTTATGTATCTACCATGCAGTAATATGAGGCTTGGCTATGGCGGAAACGGTACGACAAATGAGTAAAGTAGAATGGAAGTCAGAGAAACAACCAAGTTAACGGCAACACATGTCCTAAGCCGCAAAGCCAAAAAGAAACCAGAAAGCCGCACCTTCCGAGTTCGGAACGGCCATTTCTATAGGCTATAGGCGAGCTCAGACCCCTGTCTCACCTCTTTGGGTACCTACACTCACACATAGTACACACACATCGATACACACCAGCCAGACAGGCACCACATACCACACACTCAGCATACACGTACACCTCGGGGCTTCAGCACGCGTCATCAGCCGCTAGAGCTAGTACGCAGGCTAAATAGACTACTAAGATACTAGACCTCGAAAGCAAGCCACCCCACCAAGCATCAAGGCAAGACCTTCGGCCCGCTTACATAGCGGCTCACATAGCGGCCGGCGGCAGCAGGTGCACACGCACATCACAGGCAGCGGGACACGGCAGGCGGGCGGGAGACCAGCATAAGTTTTTTTTTTTTTTTTCCTTTCTTCTTGATTTGTGATTACCGCAGGTCTGGCCCATCGTCTGGCTGGGGGTCTTGGTTTAAGTGGTCAGCATCGCCTTTGCCTTGCCCGGTCCGGTTGGGCTTAGGCTTGGGCTTGGGCTTGGGCTTGGGCTTGGGCTTGGGCTGGGAGGTTAGAGTGAGCACTATGTATTTGACGTTGCGTATTGTGTGGTAAATGACGGACGATGTACTTCAAGGGATGACCTATGTAACTTTGGTTGCTGAAGTTGAAGAAGATCTCGAGAAAAAAAAAAAAAAAAAAAAGAGATGGTGCGGCACAGCAATGTGTTGTCCCCGGGATCCCGACGGAGGCTCGGATTATGGGTTCCAAGATGCTGTTTATCAGGAATTGTCATTGCGATACCGAAAGTAGGAATACTGCTTGGTATTATTGATTGCTGAGAGAAAAAGCAAGGTGAAGGCGGTTTCAGATTTCAGGCACTATGCGGGATTGCTTTGAGGTTCGTCCGGTCCGCCTTGGCTGAAGGGTATTGAGTCCGAGCAGTTCGCGGTCGCGAATGAGCCATGGAGAAATTTCTGTTGACTAGAAAGTGGAAGTTACTGTGTAAATGAAGAGAAAACTCAGTGCTCAGCCTGAAGACATGAAATCTAGGGCCGTTAGCTGATCGTTCGTTCGTTGATGATGTTTGTTCAGCGTGGAGTGATGAAGTTGTCAAAAGAAGTGGAGAGACAGAGACGGAGACACAGCCGCACTGGGAATAGAACTCCCCAGGCCCCAACATTTCAGGGCTTAGGGGGCAGGCCTGGAGACGCATGACCCCTAACCCTGGGGACGGTTCCTGGAACCGCTAAAAATGCCATTCGATTTTCCCTCTCCCGCTGCAACGGTCCGCAGGATGAAGATCCGGCGGCAGCGCAACCTTTCATTCTGAGTGTTGGACAGCTTATTACCCGATCATAACAGGCCCTGTAAGTGACACCTCAATCTTTGGCATATTGTCAGTCATATGCAGAAAAGATGACGGAAGGATTCTCGCACCGAGAGATACCAACGTAGAGGTAGACGTTCGGAGGGACGCTAGTGCCACCTCGCTCGGGCAGTCCCCCCGAACCGGACCCCGTGGGGTCCACTATGGCCTACTCCACACAGTAAATAGGCTCAGGCCCGTTGACGAGAATCGCACTGGGGCATAAGTAACCCCGCATTTCGCCAGTTGACTACCCCACAATGACAGCCCGAGAGGAAGTTCCTACCAACATCTACCGTAGACTTTTAGAGGTTATTCATCCGTCAACTTCAATATGGACATGTCGTCGTTGTTGCCGATGCTCCCTCCAAAAGCCTCATTGATACCGCCATTCATGACGCGGGGAAAAAAAAAATTGTTTTAAAAACAAAAAGGAAACACAGACCGATGGCGACCCGGTGACGCCAACTAACTAACGGCGGCTGCAGTGCCCTGTCTTCTTCGCCATAACCCCCCACGCTTGCCATTGAGACTGGCCAGGCTCTCCGATAGCTAGCAGAGGTTGGACTTTCCACGTACCTAAGGCTACGGTAGGTGGGTGCGCGAGCAGGTATGTAGCCCAATCTGACAAGCCAAAGGAGCTCCATGCAGCAGAAGGCTGATCCGTGAGAGAGGAAAGATCAGAGTACAGAGAAAGGATCAGAGTACCGCAGTATGATGACCCTCCATGGGATCTATGTACAGATGTCGCAATGGCGGCTGCCGTCATGCCCCGATACATTGTACGTTGGCCGTCCTGCCGCTCGTCAGCCAACGACAACGGCACATGCCTTGTCTCTGGTCAAACTCCACAGGGTAACGGCTTTTTCCGCGGGTGCAGACATTTGAGGATGGTCCTTTCGTCTGACTGGATCACGAAACGATATCTCCGATAACCAACATAAAGGGCACCGAATCACGTTTTGTGAGCTCGGTATGACTAAGCCCTCACTGTTTGGCTGGCTTGAAGAACGGTTCGTCTCCGGTTCGACCTGATTTCCAATCAATTGTCTTTACGGGAGTGGGTTGACGGCACACATACAGATGGAGATGTTTTCTGTACCAAGGTTGCAGCAGTTGGTCCGGAGCGATAGAGGATATGACAGCATCCGAAAACGTGCTCCCTTCATCCCGCGCCGCCGACCCACGTCGTCCCCTCCCGATACGGACTCGGAAAGCCGACCGCGAATGCCGTCATTCCCTAGACAGCAAGAGGAAGCGGGGAAGCGGTAGAATCCAGGGTCATATCAGTTATTCGCTTACGGAAGATCACAACTCGTCCGGTGGTTTATTCGGGGTCTCCTCCGATACTGTTGTTGTTGCCGAGCCTCGGGACTTGCCCTCTACTCCGATCAACGTGTGAGCATTCGGTCGCAGGAATCAAAGAAGCGTGTGTGTCGTGATCACTTGACGAAATTGTCCGAACTTGAAAATTTACAATCGAAATGGAACTGGAGATTTGGGAGGTCTGACTGACAAACAGATATTCGGGATATGGCGAAATGGGGAGAGTCGCACGTGGAGAACATGAAGCCTCAGCATCTCCATACTAGGGTCTTTTCAGGGTCCTCAACCACGTCAGAACATCCCCTCAGTAGCGGCCATGGTCGACGGGTCGTCGGTCGTTGAACAGCGGAAGATGTTAAACATAAATGATCCATTGCCGCTCGCCGCTAACGAATGAGCTTTGTACTAGTCTACTTCTGGGTAGTATTGCATTTCTGGCGTTTTTATTTGTACACCCTTCCCCACGCTTTACTTTTGCTCTTCCACCCCCTTCCTTTTTTCACCATCTGATAGCCAGATTGAGCATGGAATGGGAACGGTGCCGCAGGAATCTGACATACATCCTGACGGTCTATGTGCGATCAAATCCAACTGAACAGGCACAGCTGCGACAACCATTGCTTGTGGAAAAATAAGATGTTGCAACGGCGGATTGCATTATCTGGTCGAACGCCTGCATCGACACTGGAGACCTACGCTGCTATGCATGAAATATCACAGTGTTGCAAGCGCTCCCTGACACGACAGCCTTATCGAGAGTCTGCGGCATTCCGTTTTGATAACTTCTCTCTCAAACCGCGGGTAGAACATATCGGGCGTCCACTGCCCGCTTTTAGTGGCTAGGTGATGTCCGTGAACTGAGTATTGAGACATAGGTTTTTCGGTGGCCAAGCATCACCCACGCTTATACAGCGGGAGGACGGTTCCTGCGGGACAAAAGGCTCGCACATACCGATATCGACCCTACACTCCCATAGCAAGGCCGCATTGTGTTTCAGGACCCTTATTGACAAAAGGACCGCGAGTCAAAGGATCGGATCTGAACTGAGTCGGGACACAAGATCATCACTGTACGGTTCCAAGACACTGGTCCCTGATGGGCCAGGACTTCAAGATTCCTGTTGCAGTGGGTGACACAATTTGCGATCCATGCTAGCATAATCGTCCAGCGATTTCTCCCGAACCATCTCACCGAGGTCAGTGTCCTCACTGGGGGGATCGGATTCCATTGCATTGCAACGTCGGACTATGCAGAATCCAGCATCGCCATCCATTGCCTAAATCACAGAAACTAGTACTTTAGCGAATCACCAACAGCTACGCTGCTGACATTCTTTCCCTGCAGTTTGTAATCACGGAGTAATCGTTCTGAGATCCGGCGCCTGCTTACTACTTGCTCTGCTTTGACATCCTTGTCCGTTCCGAAACAACACTTTCGCGGTGACTTTCACCAGGGCACTTCCAGTTGAGCTATCTTACTACAAACTCTCGGGCATATCGACCAAGACAAGTAGTTGCAGCGACAAGCATAGGTACGAAATACTACAGTATCACGGACGCATGGCAGCTGAACTATTGGGCGCCTCAAGTGAACCAGGTCTCATGGAGATAGAGGTAAGCTTACATTGACTCGGATCCGAGCCCTAGATATTGTAGTCTAGGACATCTCTCAACCTCGGGACACTACTAACCTTTTGACTGTTAGTCGACGTCGCTCTTGCAAGTATTCTTTCAGAGTCCAGACAACTAAAGTCATAAATGGAAGGACTCAAATGGGTGAAGCGTAGTTGACTTGAAGCTTGAGTGGAACCTAGCTGAAAGCAAACTAGCCATCGATCGATGCTCAACCTACACGCTTTGAGATATCCGTGAATAGCTTCCTTACTGTCTCTACCAGTCGACATTTGGATAATGAACCCCATCAAGCTACCGGATAGACCCTTATCGTGTCAAATCCTAGCACAATGGCTGCCGTACGCCCTGAAGCTATCCTGCGGCTGAAAATAATCAAGGAAACATAGATCCTCTATAGCACAAAAGGCATCCATCGACTCAACTACCGCACGACACCCATATCGCTTACATACGCATCACAAACACAAAGACCGACATGAACCCCATCCATTTGCCATGAAGGATCTCCCCGGGCCCTCTCTCCCATCTCTCCTTCCTTGCTTCTTTCGTTCCCCCAAGCTCTCGTCGCTATGACACTTGTCTTCCGCTTGTGTCGAATTACAGTTCCTCCCGATGAGATCCCGTCCCAAACACTTGCAGCAATCAAAGAAGCCGGTAAGCCGGCGGGGCAACTGATCCGGAAAGACATCAAGCCCATGACTTGCGTGCATATGATGAACACACGATGCATGGGACTATCGATCAAAACTAAGAAGCGCATCGTGTTGCGCTAGGATTCAGCAACGGGATGAACGGAGGTACTGAGCGAGTAGGGAGGCTTCCTGTCCCGTTCTTCCTGGTGAAGCTAACGGTATGGATGCTTCTGACCTGTTTTCTCGAAGGTCAGAGGACAGATGTACTCCCGATTAGGCACGCTACCACACGCAAGGAAACAAGGTTCAAGGACTCGAGGGATGGCTGCCGTCAGTATATACCCCGCCAGCCAACAAAGATTTGCAACCCTCTTTATTGCGTATCTCGGTCTTCTGGCAGCAACGGGAAAGAAACGAAGTGCTCAAATCTAACCACCCCGATTTCAAGCCCAGGTATGCTAAGGCATGCTGATGAGCTTGTCTTTCCACACGGAATTGTGTGCTGCCCACGAAGGCCCGTTCTTGCATTTACTAAGAGATCAGTCAGTAAAATTAGTGAGGGTTTCTTTATCTCCCTGTCTGTCAGTCAAGTTTGGAAAGCGGACTGGAGGTGCAGGCCCAAAATTTCCCATCCTCCTTCCCCTTCCCTTACTCTTTATCAAAGGCCAAGAAAAATGATGAAGAGGGGAGCATTCCATATCAGGGTTGCCTATTATGCCCAAATACCTCTACCTATCTGAGTTCTTTCCGGTACGCCATGAAAACTCAAGATGGAATGGGACTCCAACTTCCTTCTCTCTTCAAACAGAACGAAGGTAGAGAAAACTATGCCACTGGAATTTTCACTGAACATATACCAAGATACTTCTATCTACTACTTAGATAATATCACTTCGTCTCTTCCCGAAATGGACACTGCAATGGTACATAGATAGTAGTCGTCTCTCTCTCACACATTCTTGACCATCCCTGTCTACGTCATCCACATCAGTTACCCCACAAAAGAAGAAAAAAAATGGAAAAAGGAAATGCCCAATAACAGGATTGAACTGTTGACCTTCGCATGAACTTGATATCTCGAAAGACAAGATATTAGTACGACGCTCTAACCAGCTGAGCTAATCGGGCTGTTGTTGTAAGTCGAGCTGTTACGCTGCTCTTATACAATACTTACAATTCCTAACGTTTTCCATTGACGCAGGATTGTGCGTTATGAATCACATGTGATAAGGAGACAAGCAACTTCGAAGGGACGATGGAGGCGTGGATACTTTATTATTCTCAATTGGAAAAAATTGTAGACTTGTCGAATTGACAAAGTACGGTACCTTTGTACGGTTCCATTATAGCGTTATGACTGGTTGGCGGGTGAGGTAGTAGGTACAAAGAAGGAAAGGAAAGGAAGAAAGGAAAGCTGAAGCGAGTAGTGATGGATAGGTAGGTCTCCACATACGGTACAGGAATAATGTAAGCCTACGGGCGATACAATCTGTCGCAGTGAGAAGATCGACCTTCAACTTAGTGACGAGGGACAAGGCAGTGTCGTGCTCGTTTGTTTCATGGATTCGGTGGTCTAGGAATGATGAAGCAAGGTACTTCTATGTTACAGGAACTAATTCCAGTTCTCATCTTCCCACTCCTCTTTCGCTACTATTTAGGAATCACGAAAGCCTGGCCACTAGGTTGTTGTTGTCAAACTGACCGCTCGACTTATGTACCTCTTTCAAGCATGTCAAGAAAGACAGGGACATAGGTTCCGTGGGACAAATATCTCGAAAAACTATCAGTTATTTCGAGCGGCTCCACGAGTTTATATCACCATAACAAATGCTGCACTGTCCGCTATGATTGCGACAAGGTTAAAGATGGGCCGTAGAATTTTCTAGTCTTATGTTCTCAGATGCTGATGGCAACGCCGATGTAGAAGGCTGACGGGTGGAAGACTGGGCGACAAATGTTCGTTGAGCAGAAAAATCTGTCGCCGAGCTTGAAACTTGGGTCCTTGATACAGACATGTCAGTGTCATGCTTTTTCGTCTGGGATGATCGCCTCCGTATATCGTCTCTTGCCGACTGAGACGCCCAACACATCTCCCAAGCGTTTCTCACTAATGGTACACTCACCTGGCCATCTCGCATTATGTATGATCTACCTGCTCGAGGGTCGAACAATCTCACGCCATGAAGAGTCCCTTATGTACCTCTATGTGCCTGATGAAATTCTTATTCTGAGCTCCTCCAAACCGTCGTTAGACCGTTCAATCAAGATCGCCATCTCATCCAAGTCAGCGTGCTCATCGATATCTAACACCGTAGGGCTTTTGAGGGACGGTAGGATACTGAACGTTGAGTTCTCATAGCTGAATCACGCGTATCATCTCGGAGATTCTGATCAATTATAGGTAGCATAATCGTGGGTGGCCTACAGCCGATAGGTGTCTTCTACTCTACACTTCCCGCCTGAACTGTAAAGAGCGGAAATGGAGTACATGGTTCGAAGTCGATGGGTGGCCGGCTAGTCCCGGAATTTCACCCCACCTAATTCAAATTGTGGACGGGCGGAAAACGAAGGGGCGCCGGGCCCGTGTGACTGAGGCTCTTGCAGATGCATCTTAAGCCAAGTGTAGGTGCTGTCTTTTGAGTTCGAATGTTGTGTTGACACATGGTCAGTACTTACATGAGAAGAACTAAGGTATGAGGAAATGTTTTTGGCGTGCTGTGTGGTGGAATTTCAGTCTTGAATGACTGTATCGTAGTTTACTCGCGCATACCTATCGAACAAAATTGATCGAATTCGTGTGATAAAGAGGTGTGGACCGTGTTGGAGACCTGACACCTTTCAAACAGCCTTCAAAATGGTCTTGTCGGTAGCTAGGTTCGTAGGTAAACAGGGACGTAATTTGGCAAGATGGTGTGTTGTAGACTGTTGTTATCTCGTAAAGTGATGCCGTAAATTTCAGGGCCATCTGTAGCTGATCTTGGAGTCAAGAACAAACTGTGAATCAAGCCCTTGTGCATTAGACGCACTTGTGCAGGACCGGTCAGGTTTAAGCAGGCGTCGAGGCTACTTCAGTCGCAAGAAATCTACCTATGTGGGTGGCAGCTTTCCCATAATGCAGTCATCCATTACCAGTGGCTGCGTATCGTAAATACTCGCAACTTCGCAATTCAGGAAAGCCGGGTCAAGAGTGTTGGCTACCTACATATGTGCCACATCATGCTTTTCTGTCTAACTTATAACCCCGTGTCGTACCTGTCTTTCCGAATCTCAAAGTTGCGAGTCTTACTGTAAAGGGGTATTTTTTTTTTTCTTTTTTTGTTCGGTTGACGTTCTGGGATGGACATGAAACTCTACTTTGACTCGATAGACCAAGTATCATGATGTGGCAGGAGATATCCATCGATAATGGCCACATGCTACTCCCATTCACCTTGTTTGACAAGCGAGCGCAACCAAACACCTCATAGTCAAATACATCACACCTTCGGATTACTCTTGCACGCATCTGCATATCTGTGTGTCATAGCAAGTTAACCGAGCGACTGGGGTTCACGCTGTTCCAACGCCGTGCTTGTCTAGTCCATGGATGCCCAGATGGCACAAGATAGGATGCCTGACCGAGATGCGGATGAAGATGGTATTGCTTGTAAGTGTTAGTGGTATGGAGTGGGCCCTAACGATTTTTTCGCCGATAGCCAGCCGAATGCTGTTAGTGACTTATACGCCTCCTTATCGCAGCGCATCTCCGACATAAGCGCCCTCGTCACCGTCCAGGACGGGACATTGTGATAGGATAAAAATATATTGTGCCAGTCGGATCACGGGGACGCACCCCCCTCATTCCATCTTCAAGAGTACAACACTGCGTTCAGATGTTGGTTGCTTAGGACCTTTGACCAATTCGGTAGTCATTGCTGCAACCTCGTGAGCTTCGTAGCCAGGAGATCTAGTCTCGGCAACTTGTGACAATCAAGGTCATATTAAGGTATACAAGACGTTGTTTGTACAGTTGGCGTATCATGTTGCCAGCTATTGAATGCTTGGAACGGTTGGAGTCCGCGATGGCTTCGCGGGTTACGTACAGTTACTATGTAGACTCAGCTTTTTCTGTAACCAAGTGGAGCTGAAAGCTGAACTCAATTCCCGGTCTAGACCCACTCCTTCAGCCTGAAAAGGCGGTTACATATGTACCTAAATTACCCCACCATATCCATCGATCTTCCCCGCCGTCCAGTCGTCACGTCACGAACCTCTGCCATAAACTGGAATTCAAGAATTACCGGGCAGACTCACGACATTGCCAAACTGATCTTCAACATCCACCACAAGACCTTTGCTTTCCCGGCCGTCTTCTTCTGTCCAAGGCAGAGTTTTACTTAACTGTCATTTACTCGAGTGCTGCACACCCAGCTGTCTATCTTACTTTACGCACGCCGTTTACGCACGCCCAATCCTGTGGCATCGATTGACCGTATCGCACATACTTTCATCTGATCTAGAAAAGATCACCCTCTGCCGACAATTTCTTGCGTCGTCCCACCGGTGGCAGCCTGCAACGGACGGCACGCTTTGGAGCCATCAAAGGCCAAATTTTACAACTAGAATAGGTCAGTAGTTGAAGAGCAACCGTGTCTTGTGATCTGGTAACCATGGCCCTGTCCTCTCGGCGGGTGACCAGCTCTTCGGCCCTACGGGCTTTGCCTGGTTGGGCTGCACATCCTCATCCGTCCCCCGCCTTCTGTCCCTCGTCATCTATAAAGGTTGTGAGGCCGTAACTAACCTTCTCTTCGACTGTAGTCATCCACTACGAATCATTGACTATACTGCGAGTTTGTCTCTTCGTTTGTCCGCATCGCTTCCACGGCGCACCGTCCTGAACACGAATCGACAGCAAGAATTTTCCTTTACACGACATACCCTCACGGTCAAACTTTTCATCGCCGACATAGCGACAGCCTAATATTCCCAATGACATCCTTCGTTACAAATCTCTGGGAGTCGATCTTCACTCCGGGGCCGACTCCCACCCTCCTTATTGCGACAAACGTCACATTTGCCGCTCTGCAAATTGTCCTGGCGTGCCTCCTCTTTGCGACATGGAGTATCCACTTTGTTGTTCTCTCGGCTCTCTGCGGTGGACTTTGGGGATCCATCAACTGGTTCGCGGCGGAATTGAAGGTGCACCAAATCCAAGAAGAGGAAAAGGCGAGAAGAGCCAAAGAAGCGGCGCCAACCCCAGTCACATCGGAAGACAGCGAAACAGAAGTGGAGGCAGCTACATCGACAGCTAGCCTCACGAGGCAGGAGTCAATTGCAGAGGCGGTCAGCCATGAGGTTGAGCCTATCCAGCAGATCGGAGAACTGAAGCACAGAGTGGTTGAGGAGACATCGAGCCTGGGCACTAAGAGCGGCGTCAGCACGGAAGATGAGTGGGAGAAGGTTTCGGAGAACGAGAACGAGAAGGACAAGTGAATATCCCGGCGATTGAGCGGGGAATGACCACACGCACAACGTACAAGCGAATGTCTTTTTAGCGAAGTTGCCATGGCATCTTGTAAACAGTGTTATGGTTTGCTTTCGTGTTGGAGTTGAGCGACGATGGCATTTACATATCCACCCTGTTTTCGTTCCGAATTATATGAAAGGATAGGCAGTTGAAGGCTGTAAGCCCGATGTTCGTTTCATGGTCCTTAGCCTGCCATGAGGCATCATGACCTGTGCAACTACAGCTATAGCTCCTGAGACAAAGTCATAGGAAGCAACACCCTGTTGTTCGGCGTGACAGTTAGCCAGCCCATCTCGTGTACCCAATTATCTGGTTGCTTCAACTCAGCACATGAACAGATCATGCGCAGGGCAGGCAATTCATGGAGAGCTTGAAACGCATGACTTCCAGGGTTAGGGGTTATCAAGCCGCCATTTGCCAATTCAGCTCGACTCACGTGATTGAACACGGGCTCTGTCTTGGCGCGTAGCGACGGCAGGCTATTTGCTCCACCCTGACGCTTGGATGGTTGTCCAAGCGTCCAAGGAAGCTCGACAAGCCTTCTCCCGTCGCGACTGTTGATTGACAAAGTACTGTAACAAGCGGGTAATCGAGACCTTGTCACCACCAATTCCATACAACACATATCCAGTTACGCGTTGTCCAAATAAGTCAAGATGAAGCTGGTCAGGTAAGATTTCTCCTTGCTTCCTGATACTTTCGCTACATGTACCCGATACCCCATCCCACCCGACTTCAATCCTATTCTCTTGCACGACGCATGCTGAGCTTTGAGTCCTCGCCTTCAAGGCTGCCAGCCCGTGTTCGCGCGCGTCCATGCTGCTCTACTAGAAAAAGAACACCAAGGGCACCAGGCTGACGAAGTGGAATCCGTTACTTCAACACTGCAGATTTTTGATGAAATGCGCCAACGAGACGGTGACGATTGAGTTGAAGAACGGCACGATTGTACACGGCACTATCGCCTCGGTCACACCCCGCATGGACACTGCGCTTCGCAACGTCAAGATGACCCCCAAGGGCCAGGACGCTGTGGCTCTGGATGCCATGAACATTAGGTAAGTCAACCCTTTCAACTAAGGGGGAGTGGCGCTTTTCAGTTTTCGAGGGCATCACTAACTATTGAAACCCTACAGGGGCTCGACCATCCGTTACTTCATACTTCCCGATTCTTTGCCGCTCGATACATTGCTAGTTGACGATTCCGTGAAGCCCAAGAACAAGGCGAGAAAGGAAGCGGACCGCAGCGCCGGCGGCAGAGGTGGCCGTGGTGGCCGTGGCAGAGGAAGGGGAATGGGTCGCGGCCGCGGTCGTGGCCGTGGCTAAGCGGATCTCGTTTCTTTGGGATCGGCCACGGCGTACGTCTCCCTGGACGACAGAAACGTGCGAATTAGATTCTTTTTTTCAGAGACGATACGATGCTATACTACGGTTAATGGTGGAATTTTTTCGGTTTTTTATGCCCCCTTCGGTCGACCGGCTTGACCGTCTTGGTTGGGAAGATCAAGGCCAGCCCGAAATAACGTCCGGTGGCGACGACACGACAAAATCGACGATGAGTGCGCTTCACAAAATCGAGGAGCATATCCCAGATCTTTACTTGAGCGACACTCAAGATTCACCTCATTCGCATCGAGTGTTACACACATAAACACCACTCCCCCCATCGGATCGGAGCAGAGGGCAAGCATTGGGATTTCGTTGCGGCGTTCTGGACAGGATAAAATCACTTTGCTAGCGGGAAGGGAGAGAGAGAAAGGCGCGCCCAACCGCCACCGGAATGAACTATTTTATGTATTACAAAACAGATAGACGGCGATATATGCCCACTGGAGAAGGCGGGACAATCAGCAACTCTCTATACCAAATCTCCCCCAGAATTTTCGAGCCTTGTACGTGACTGACCATCGTCCTTCCCCCTCTTCCACCCTCTTCAGCGCTTTCCTCCCCATCCTCAACCCATCACCAGCATTCCGTCCCTCCATTTACCTCCAAACCCTCACAATCTGCAACTTCTCCCAACCCGCCTGCTTCCCACTAGTCCCCACCGTCTCCGCCTTCCACTTCCCTTCACCACCCATCGCCCTGATCCTCCCCTTGACCTCCTCCGGCTTATTCTGCGCACAAAGCAGAATATACGCCACCCCCCTCTCGCTCAACACCCCCGGCAAGGCCTCAATCAGTCTATCCGTCGTCTCCATTCCATCCCTCCCTCCAGCATACGTCAACTCCAACAGATGCGAATCTTCCTCAAACGTCGTTTTGTCCTTCAGTTCCTGCAACCCTGTCGGTGGCGGCGCAGGCAAGTCAGGCGTGGGGACGTAGGGCGGGTTGAAGACCAGGACATCTACCGACCCGGGGCGAAAGGGGGAGACGAGGTCACCTTGGGTTGCTGACGTCCAAAAACCGGAGGTGGAAGTATTTTCGGAAACGGCCTTGGAGACGGTAAGGTTGGTGGCGGCACAGGCGAAGGGGGACACGTCGATGGCGGTTGTTAGGACATGCGGGCCGCCAAAGATGGTGGAGGCGTGCGCGGTTAGGAAGGCGATCACGACGCCGGAGCCGGGGCCGACTTCCAGAACCAAAGGCGCTGGGGAAGGGGAGGAGGGACTGGGGGAGGCAAAGCGGGATGAGAGAAAAGCGGTTTCGGAGGGGGACGAGAGCGTGTCGAGCAGGAGGAAGGAGTCCTCGGCTGGTTCGTAGACGCGCTGGTAAGGCACATGGGAGGTGTCGGGGGTTGGGAGCATGATGGCGGTTGGGTGATGGGTTTTTGGGTGGTTGTTGCCGTTGCACTATCTGTGTTATGTCGGTATAAGAGGTGGGTGGTACTCGTTCGAGGCCGACGAATTAAATCTGAAGGGACAAGAGTTGAACCAATGAGATGTGAGTATTTGGCGACAGCGACGTTGAGGATCGCTTCAGGTTTTGTCCGATTTGGGTTGTTTAAACAAAAAAGAAACAAGACTCGAAATTTTAAGTTCATTTTCGTTTCGGATAAACACTCGGCCTTGGCACGTGATAAGGGTTGTATGCGTGAGAGCAAAAAGACAGAAGGATGACCGAGCTATTCACTCTCTCTCTTCACAAAGCACCATCTAGGCGAGCAGCATCGTCACTTCAGACGTGGACGTGATGGAAGGGAAAAAAAAAAACGATTGCGTCTACAGGTAGGTAAAACCCGCTACTTAGCATCGACTCATGAAAACAACGCCATTCAAAGTAGCTACTTCCTTACTATCAACCCAGATGCCCGACAAACAACACATCCCAGGCCCAGCTACCTCCGCTACCTCTCAAGCTCCTCAAGTTTCCCGTTCTCACTTACAACATTATCCTTCTTCATCCAAACCCTCCTCCTCCAATCATACTCCCACAACTTATTTTCTCTGCACAACTTACACGGAACGGGCGCATTATTACTCCAAGGTGGTACCGCACCCGATAGGGAGCTGGGGACGCTCGGAACCTGCATAGTAGGACCATGGTATGCTCTGCGTTTGTGGAAAATATGTCCGCAGAGGAAGGTAACGGGGGCTTCGCAAGGGTGGGTGGCGTATGTCGACATCTTGCTGCTGGCAATTGGAAATGGGGAACGCTGAAGGTCGGGAGAAGATATTGCTGAACTCCAGTTCTTATACTAGTCGTTCTGGTACTTTTGCATGGGTAGTATACCGAGAAGGAAGACTTGTTCGGCTCTATGTGGCATTTATATGGGAACTAAAGCTGTGAACATGTTTCCGTGGAATCGATGGGAATGAAGGAGCAGACTCCTAGTGATGCAATACTATCTATGGAAGCGAGGAGTGATCAACATCATATCTACCAAGCAGCTCCCCCAATATCGATGAAATATGTAAGTTGGGATGACGTTAAAACTCCCAAAACAGTAAACTTCATGTTTGGACAATGGCCCCAGGACTGTGCCTCAAGATATTTCTACATACCACACTGAGCCATTAGACTCCTCTTTCAACAAGCGGCCTTGGTCCCTTTAACGCCGTTTGCCTGTCCAGGCCTTGGTCATGGAAGTCGTAGGTTTTTGTCATTTGTCAATGCATCATCATGAGTGTCAATGTGCTTTAGCCAGCTCATTGCCACACCGCAGCCCTCTTCTTGGTAGGCATATAACCGCTAACACCCAGGTTCACAATCAACAAAGTCACATATAGACCAGCAAGGAACACCTCAATCTGCACATCAAACGCTATTCATTCGCAGGTATACAAACCCAGTCTCATTCTCATTCCCATTTCCTTACGGCTCCTCACGCTTTTGTAGCTTGCGACACCGCCCCCTCCTCTCCTTCCTCGTCAGAATCAAACGGACTTTCCGTATCATTGATAGCCGTATCATCCTTGTTATCTTCCAACCCGCCCGTAAGCTTCGCCAACATGAACTCTATCCTCCTTGTGCTCTTCTCCAAAGCCTCCAGCCTCGCCGTGATAGCGCTCATCTCATCACTCTCGCTCAAAACGCCCTGCAACTCCGTCCTCAGGCCCGGGAACGGGGCGATGCTGTCACGACGACCAGGTGGCTGTTTCTTGTTCGTGTTTGTGTCCTTGTTCGTGTTTGTGTCCTTGGCTGTGTTTGATTCCTTGGCCGGTGTCTTCGTGGCTGCTTCCACGGTATTTCCCCGAACGAACTGCCGCCGGATCAAATGTTTGGTGAGATCATCGTCTTCAGCGATCTGCTCGAGTACCGAATCTGGCGGCGGGACTTCGAAGACGGTCTCGATGTCACTGTGGACGGTGATACGCCACCTGTTCCAGAAGCGCATACCTTTGCATATGCTGCGTCGAGGGTGCGAAGAGGAGGAGTTGACTGATGGCCCTTCCGCTGGTCGTTCTCCTCCTGCTGTTGATGTGATTGGGGGAAGGATTCGGCGTTCTACCAGGGCAATGACGAGCAGGAGGGGGAGGTTGAGCAGACGCACGCTGGCGACGTGGATTTTGTGGAACCAGCGCGGAGTGACAAACCATTTAAGGGGGATGAGGATGAAGACAGCGAGGATGTTGAAGGGGGGTTGGTAGGCGAAGATGGCGTCGCTTTTGACGCCCTCGAGAGTCAGGACGGCATGTCGGAACTGGATTTCTGCGGTTGCGTTGCTGACTATTGTGCTAAAGGTATTTGAGAGCATAGAAACCAGAACGGTGAGGAATAATGTGTTGCCGAGGAAGGCAAACATGACCATTAGGGCTGGTCCCAGGTATTTGTGGAAGTCGGTCTAGAGTATGTGTTAGTATACGCCCAGGCCATGGAGGTATTAAAATTGAGACATACCGAATGATGGATGCCAGATCCATCCAGACCGAACCAAATGTAAATCATCCATTCACTGATGGTTCTACGAGAAGCTTAGTAAATGTCAAGAACGGTGGCGGGAAGTGGGACTCACACCCAGGAGTACTGGTGGTTTCCTAGCCAGACAAGGGACAACAGGAAGCCAAAAAAGCACCTATGGAAGATGTCAGTGTCAAAGGACCAGATCAAGACAACCAGAAGAGCTTACCAGCCACCAAGTACGGTCAGTAAAGAAAAATCGGCCATCATGGACCGAAGCGACAAGAAGAGGATGTTGTCGGACAGTAAATTAAACGCTAAGCGAGGAACAAGCACTGGTGCGCCCATGGCCAGCACGTCGAGTGCTTGTTGTCCTAGTTCTTCGTTATGAGATCGCAACCCGTATACGCGCAGAACAAGATAGATCCAATAGATGCAAACAAATGTAACATCAAGGAACGACCACAAATTCTGAGTGTACACGTGCCTGTGTACGAGTTAATGAGACGTCTCGGAGGATTGGTGAAGTTTCAACATACCAGCCATGCTCGAGAATAGTTGCAAATTGATCGAGCACCCAACCGAAGGCGTAGACGGTGAAGCAAGTTTCCAGTATCGTTACACGACCTGCGTATCTCTCGGACATGAATACAAGATAGAGCGCCAGGAGGATGACGAACTGGATGATTTCCAAGATATTTCGCGTCCGCGGTACAACCAGACGGTACTGGTTCAGTAGAGGCGCCTTTCTGGGGTCATACAGAGATATTGGCTTCTGCTTGTAACGATCGGGGATAATCTCCAGGAAGCTGGAAGGGCTGTAGATAACCCGTCCCTCGTAGATGGCGTCCACACTGTTCTTGTGTCAGCCCCCATGCCCACTGAGTTCAAAGCTTCGTCGGACGACTCACATCTTCTGGCATGATGTCGAGCTCAAAAAGATCTTGGCCTCACTCAGGATGGCTACCTCCAAGGCTGGTAGCGTCTTATGCCATGCTGTCTGCGCACGGACCTCCCGTCGAATCTCTGACGGAGCATTTTGGAACGGCTCAAAGCCAGCAATAAGGATATGAGCCAGCACCAAAAGACCCTCTGGACCCTCGTTGTCCTCGCTGCATCGCCTGAGAATGCGTGTGGCTATTAACTCACACAGCATGGCGCGTGTGTAGTTGACATTTTGCCTGTTGTTGAGATGCGACTGCTCGTTCAGGAACTGCGCGCGGTTGACCAGCAAGCAGTAGACTATTGAAATATCGTCCTGCGCATAGAACTTGTCCACCAGCGGACGAACAACAGATATGTTGATGCGGATATCGCGCAGTTGATCCAGGCTCAGATAGTCCTCCACCACCGATATGATATCCCGACGGATCCGGTGGATGTTGGTGTAAACTGGTAGTTGTGAGTGGTCGTCCCCACACGCGTATACTTGACCGTCGAGCGAGTGATGCTGGTTGCCATTTTGTCTACCGGTTGTTGTTGTTATCCGTTGGGGTAGAAGAGGTCTTCTTTCTGCCAGATTGGGTTCTTGAATACGAAGCGCGCTCTGGTGTCGACGGCCTGACTGATCCCCCATCACCATGCCCTTGCTGACCAACACTAAATACGGACCGATGACCGAAACTAGTATTTTAGATGAATGTGAATTTTGCCCTTCTTCTCTTCCTCTCAAAATGAAGTTTGGAAGAGTTGGCCGAGTCAGGTGATGCTTGATCAGACGAACCTCTCATCCGAGGGCAGTCGTCTTAGTGATGTGCACCGGGTGAAATCAGTGACGACTTGTTTGCGACGATTAAGTAAATAAACGAAGCTGCTTGCGCCAAGGCAAAGTGGGTGTTTATAATACGTGGCCTGCATAAAGCGACGCCCAAGGAGCGTCTAGCACGATGTGTGAGACACGGGGCGACGGGGTCTACGATGACTTGAAAAAATGATTAAAGTATTCAAAGAAAAATAAACTCGCAAGTACCTCCTTCGCCCTTATCGTGGGGTCCTGGGACATCCATGAAAAGAGAGCGGCTCCATCAAATGACGATGAAACAAGCCTGGTTGGTTCCACCCATTTACAAGCGACGGCGGCAGGGCGGGAGTCGCCCCCCGGGGTCCAGACATGGAACCTAAGCTTGCCGAGCTTGGGACATGCACCCCACACCCACGCCTTGGGAGCTCGGAAGCTTGAACGTTCAGAGCCTCAAGGTGTCAATTTGGGGGTGTCGAGATCTCTTTATCTGTTACCTAGGCACTGGTACTTCCCCTTTACTGTACCCGTTAATCATAATGCTAAGCTGCCATTTGCCTAACAGATCTTTGCCAGGTGAACCTTCCAAAACACAGTCAGCTGCTATAATCCAAGCTTGCCAACTGCTTTCGTCATACCACCACCAGATAGCTTCGAACCCCTCATCCTCGTGAGATACATGGCTTTTGTCGATCTAGCAAGGTAATTTTCATCGCAACAACCCAGTACGTAGTACCTCCGGCTCGAACTTGGCCATGATAAAATACATATAAGAACTCAAAAGTTAGAGGATGTTCCGCGTTCTTGTGTGAGCTGATCTGCGGAAGCTTACAACGCTTCTCTCCAGCATGGAGAAAGATAAAGACAAGCGACGCTCTTGTCATAGTTACGGTACTCCAACCAGCCGATATATACCAGAGTATTATCGTGTCGAAGTGTTCGCCTATCACTTGTACCTCGAGGTATGTCTAGGGTAACGGAGGTACAAGCTTGTACGAAATGACTTACACAACCCACCTCATTTTCAACTGTTACCCCTTCCACATAAGTTGACAGCAAGACCGGGTCATTCCCCATGGGTGGCTGGTTTATAAATCCGAGATGGAACCGCCTGTGACACATTTTGGACAGAACCTGGGTTGAGCAGAACCATTGATGGTGGACACAGTGAAAGACCCGGCATTTTTACATATCCGAGACTCAGGCAATATACCACCATTCCTTCAAGTCCCGGCTTGCCCAGTTTAATGACCGCCATAACTCCCAGCTTTCAGAGCCAAAACTTCATGCAACATGAGGCCCCACAGCCCGGAAACAGGAAATCTGTAAGAACATCCGTAAGGCCGCTCGGGAGGCAATCGAAAATAGCATAAAGGCGTTAAGGTCGAGTAAGGCCGATAGAGACGAAAAAGTTGTATTGCCTATTTCACACGGTCTTGACGGACACTGATACAAATGGGGCCTCGCTTGCAAGTCGGACGAAAATAGTTTATTTAAGCCTTGGAGACAATCTCTGTATAGTCATGTCAGCATGTATTCAATCAATTTCACATGTTCGGGGATGGCAAGAAAACATACTCTCAACGTCAGCAACGGACTGCTCGAGGATCTGCTTAAGGACCTTGGGGTTCTCGAGCTCCTTCTGCACCTTGGCGATAACGGTCTGGGCGAGCTCCTTCTGCTGGCGCTGCTTAACCTGCGACTCGTAGCGGACCCAGGAGTCGAGGACAGTCTTGGCCTCAGCGGCGAGAGCGGTGCGCTGCTCGAGCTCATAGGCCTCAGCCTCAAGCTTGGCGGTTTCCTAGAAGCCATGTCAGCCTCTGTCTTTCCCCTTGTTTCCTCAACATCATTCTTCCCAATCGTGTCATCCTTCCACCTGCTGCACCATCTGCATTCCATGTATCCCAATCCCCATCCTGGTAGCGCCTACCTTGGAAACGGCGAAGAGGGTCTTGGTAATGTCGATAACACCAGACATCTGCTTAACGTCGCCGATGCGGGTCTTGACAGCCTGAGTGTGGTCGGCGCGGGCAGAGTTCAAGATGTTCTTGATCTTGTCGCTCTGCTCATCGGCCCACTTCTTGTAGAGGGGACCACCGAACTTGATGAGACCACCCCAGACGGAGAGCAAACAGAAGGCGACGACGGTCTCCTCGTTCACGACATAGTACTCGTTGGAGAGGGCGTAGATGGAAAGACCGGCGGCGGAGGAGAGGATGGCGGTCTTGGACATGAGGTTGCTGCCGGGAAGGGAGTCGATGATGGACTGAGCCTTGGTCTTGGGGTCCTCGGAGGGGACACCGGACGAGTAGCGGGGGCTAGCAACGGTGCTCAGCGCGGGAAGGACGCGGGGGACGACGCTGGGCCGGAGGCGGGCAGCCCCTAAGGATGCGCCCGGGTCAGCGACGGTCTCTGTGTTGTCTTTGCGCCCGACGTGCCCGTCCAAGAGCTCAATCTACTCACCGACAGCAGTTCTGGCCAGACGCGACGCCATTGTGAATGAGGGGATGGGCGTGGGGTGGCTGTTAGTGACGTTGCTGAGCTTTCAAGGTCGAATTGAGGTTTTAACGGAACGGGTTGACCCGGCACTTTACCGGAGGTACCTGGATGTCACGTGGATCTTGGGCCTGAGAGCTTCAGCAAAGGCGCTGGAAAAGTTTCATGCCAGTCCAAGAGCAAAAAAAGAGGCCCCACTTTGGCGCCAAGAAAGTCTCCAATGTCACCTCCAGTTCGCGACGCCAAAGAAGGACTTTGACTTGGAGACGCCCCACTTAAATTTTGCTGAGATACGACAACCATTCCGTTCCTCGAATCGTCCATTCCCTCGTTTCCTTGTCCAAACACCGACACACTGTCGCCAAAATGCCTTCAACAGTAAAAGTCCAAGCCGCGAAGCCGGTTGTCAAGCGGAAACGCTCCGAGAACGGCGAACCCATCAAGAAGCGCAGAAAGTCCGAGGCCGGCGAGGAAAAGGAAGACCTCGCATCGCAAATCCAGAATCTCGAATCCCAGATCAACGAGTCCAGGAAGCACTACAACAACATCGCTACCCTTATAGAGTACGCCGAAAAGCAGAATGAAGACCCCAAGACCGCCATCGCCGCCGCCGAAGCTCTGTGCCGCGTGTTCGTTCGCCTACTCGCCTCGGGCAGTTTGGTCAAGAAGAAGGATGCTTCGGAGAAAGATGCGACCGTCGCAAAGTGGCTTCGGGATCGCCTGACCGACCACCATAAGGCTCTTGTCGCCATGTTCAAGAGCACCAAGCTTGCCACCCAGGCTCTCGTTCTGGCTATGGCTTTGCTGAAGGCGGAAGCCCAGTACCTGGAGGGCAAGGACGAGGCCGTCTTTCCTTGGCCTCTCTTCAATGCCATCATCAGTGCGCTTCTAACGTCGCCAGTCGAGGAGGTGCGTGATGAATTTTGTGACAAGTTCATCGACGAGTATGACGACATTAGATTTTACACGTTTGAGGGAATCAAGTACGTGAACCCAATGGGACCCGAGTTGCCCAGCGTAGCAAGTTGCTAACATCCTTGTGTAGGGACTTCCTTACAGAACGCGAGTCGGTCGATGAAGAGCTACAAAACACAGTGTTTAATTTCCTCCTCAAGATGGAGGATATCCCAGAGTCATCCGAAGACCTTGAGGACTTCTATATCGAGCAACCCGTCAAGAAGAAGCACCCACTGCGGTCCTTGTCGCAGCATAAGAAGAGGGCACAGGAAGCTTGGCTGGCTTTGATGCACCTGGGTCTGAGTAAGGAGCAGAGAAAGAAGGTGTTGGACGTCATGGCATCCTCAATTGCGCCATGGTTCATCAAGCCCGAGCTCCTCATGGACTTCCTTACCGACTGCTACAACACTGGCGGCTCTATCTCGCTCCTGGCCCTTTCCGGTGTGTTCTACCTGATCCAGGAACGCAACCTGGATTACCCGTCTTTCTATCAGAAACTCTACTCCTTGCTGGATACCGACATCCTCCATTCCAAGTACCGCTCACGCTTCTTCCGCCTCCTCGATACGTTCCTGGGCTCGTCCCATTTGCCCGCCGTCCTGGTGGCAAGCTTCATCAAGCGTCTGGCCCGTCTCGCCCTCAACGCACCACCAAGCGCCATTGTTGTCATCGTTCCGTGGTTCTACAACCTGTTCAAGAAGCATCCTCTCACCACATTCATGATGCACCGTATACCGCGGACCAAGGAGGAGAAGGAGCTGATCGAGAAGGAGGGAGTCCTTGACCCTTTCCTTCCTGACGAAGAGGACCCTATGGAGACCCACGCCATTGACAGTTCTCTGTGGGAGATTGTGCAGTTACAGTCTCATTACCACCCCAACGTTGCGACCATTGCCAAGATCATCTCTGAGCAGTTTACAAAACAGGCTTACAACCTGGAGGATTTTCTGGACCACTCCTATGGCAGTGTAAGTCAACCACAATTAAATGCATATAGAAGCGTATGGCTAACATACACCCACAGCTTATCGACGCAGAGATGTCCAAGGAAGTGAAGAAGGCTCCGGTCATCGAGTTCATGATCCCGAAACACATTTTTACCAAGGCCGATCCTGGCACAGAGCAGACTGATAGCCCGTTGGTCAGTCTATGGGATTTTGGTTCATCGTAAACCATCTTTCAAATGCCGTACTCATAGTGTACGACTCCCATACCCAGTCGCAGCCCGGACCGTCCGCTCGGTTGAGCATTCCACATGTTTAGCGACAACCTCTACCTCCCACCGTCATGCTCAACACGTGGTAGACACATTGTTTCGGAAGCCAGTGGCCCTCTGCCAGGACGCGAACAAGGTTCAAATGTTCTCATCCGAGACATGCCAGGGTCTGCCCCAGACCTGTTGACCAGAGCCACGAGACCGCGATCGAGCTAGTTACGGAGAAAAGAGGGCCGAATGGAAAAAATAACAAGTCGCGGTGATGGTCGAGAAATGCTTGTTGGTTACGTTGATTGCCTTCTATCCATAACCGTGAACCCCGGGGACTTTCTCTCCTCCAGCCCCCAAACCGCACTTTCAACCATCCAAATTCTTCTCTCTCTCCACCTTCCTTCCCCCTTTCGTGGTACCGGCGGCCGGTTGCTCGGCGGGAACTCTCTGTTCTGTGGTGTTTCTGTGGGACGTCATACATGGTCACCGTCATACTCGACCACAACACCAGGCCAGGCAGGGCGCAGATGAAGACAGAACAGTAGAGGGTAGCATGGTCTGTCTCATTTGTGTGCTCACGGGGGTGAATCACCCCATATTTTCCAAATTAGGGAGGGGGTCAGGGGCTGCTGACTAGTTTACTTTATTATTGTTGGGGGGAGAGCAACCTCCGGGGATTCCTCTCCAGCTTCGGGTCGTGCTTATACCCATATCGGATAGTGGTTTTGGATCACTAGGGACTAGTAGAGGTTAGAGATTAGAATCAGATGAAACGAAGAAGTAGTGCCCTCCAGTGGCGACTGACCAAAGGGCCGACCGGCTGGTTTGGTGGTGACTTGTGAGGTGCAAGTCTAAGAGTGAAGCGAACTCTGGAAGACCATCCACCCATTCGCTTCTCTGTGTGAGCCTTCTTTTGTGTCTGTGTCTCTGTGTTTATCTGTGTATCAGTCAGAGGCAGTGGCAGGGTCACAGAATAGAATGTGTAGATACGTTCAACCTGATTCCAGACCCCCGTCCAAATCCAACGCCCCCTTCCCTACTTTCTGTTGAGATCCGAAAGACTATCAGTGTGTACAACGCTGATCAAGGAAGTGTCTGGTGGCAAATCTTCTGAAAGTAGTCTATAAATGCGAAAGTGAGAGGAACTGGCTAACAAGTGATCCCATTCAGGGTCGCTTGGCTAACATAGATATAAGTACAGTAGCAAACATCGCGACCATCCAAAAACTACCTATCAGATGCCCGAGTCCATAAATCACTAAGATTTATATCTTCACCTAAAAAGGTTCCGTCGCTTCATCTGGTGAAGCTGGCCAGGCTTGTTCGTGTCCGGACCTTATGTCCGCCGATCAGCTTTTCCTAAGGCGGTCGCTTGGGTGAGGACATCGGCAGTAGACCTAGATATGAGACTGTAATATACTATACTAGTTGACTACCTATCCTCACCCCGTATATATGTACTGCCGCACACCTCCCCGCACTCCTTAGTTTTTTGTGCGTTCTTGGCTTCGGTAGCTCCATGTTTACCTAGGCAGACTGATACACGAGACACACAGGATACAAGACACGAGGCAGTCCTAGCGTAGAGGCCCTCAAGCGCCTGAGATAACGGCTAAACGGATAGGATTATTTTCAAGTGATTATCTGACTTCGGACCTCAACAACGTTCCTTCCGGTTTTGGCAAGCAGTCACCAGAGCACTTATCCTGTCTCTTCTGACTCTTATTGAAGACCCTAGCGCATTGATGACCTCCTTCTACACATTGAGTTCGGCATTCTTCCAAGGAAAGGAAAGAGAAACTTGTCTAACACGTCAAGACGAGCATTGTCAGATAAATAAATGAATAAATTCCAAAATTGCACATTATTCACTCTTTTTTGTTGATTCTTTTACCAGCCGCTACATTCAGACCTCAGACCCTACCCCACGGTTTCCCTTCTTCCCGTCTCCCCTTGTGGCTACTTTTCGAAAACCCCGAGTTAGCTAGCCCCATCATTACATCCGTTCATCGATATTCAATATCCCTAAATCGAATTCCACTCTAGTTCGTCAGACTTTCGGTCAGGGTTCTGATCTACAGAAAGAAGAGGTTATGACGCTGACCGATCTGCTAGTGTAAGTTAGAGTTTTTGATCTTCAAGTCCCTACATCATAGTCCCCGGAAAGAAGACTGAGCAGGCTTGGCTTCTAGTGTAAAAATGCAGCAAGTTACAACGAATACTACGTGTGTGTAAACGGCATTGTCATCAAATTAGCTTTATTCCCCAAGTCTTTCTGCTTGGTACGCCAAATACCGAACAAACTAGAGGTAGTCTAACTCGATGTCCCCAGTCGGTCCGGCAATGTTGTAGGGTTATAGCTCTGCCATATACTGTATCAGACATGTACATACACCCAAACGGAACTAGCAGACCTTGAAACCTACCTTTGTCGGACCGACCTAGAACTGGATCAAACGAGTTTATCGATATACCAAGTATTTATGTTGCTGACTGATGTCGGTGGTCTTGCTGATCTATCTTGGCCCTGTTTTACCATTTAGCTAATACAGAGAGTTACCTAAACTCGCTCCTACAGATTGTTGCTTTATTTACGGCATTGGTACACTACCTAGCTAGCAGTAGGCCCGAAAGCTTTTCAGGCCTACAAGGTCCTTCCCTATAAGCAAGATTTCAAAAGTCTTGTCGCTCACTCTAGTGCAGAATGAAAGATATCCTGTTGTAGATGCCGATCTGTTCTAATACGTAGGGAAACTTAAGAGAGTGCATTAGTTCTTGTTTCATATTTTGTTTCATCGGCATTAAAGACTTGCTTGATTCCATCCTCTTTACACATATGTACATACTTGCTTCGCTTACCTTACCCAGCCTAGGTAGGGAGGGTGAGGATAATGTTTCTTTGAATCAGTCTGGCAGGGTTATCAGTTGAGTAGGTAATCTTACAACTAGTCTACTTCAGATCATCAAAACATGAAAGTCAATCAAGAAGAATGACATGTGACCGGTATTGATCCATCGCAAGCCCTACCGCGCATTGCTTTCCTTTTTTTTTTTTTTTTTTTTTTTTTTTTTTTTTCCTTTATTGTTCGAAGGAGCTGTTGGAAATAGCATCCTCAACCGACCTGTTCGAACCTGTCGGCGACTTCAACAAGCCCATCAACGAGCGAGACAGAAACATGAGAGACAAAATAACAGTCCAAAAGGATAGCTAATGCATACCACCCACCATAAAAAGAAACACAGCTCTCACCACTTGACAGTAGTAACAAATCAGATCACCAGACCTGTCCCAAGTGAGTGGTTCTCAGACTCTCTGGGCTTCCCAGATCCAGAGGGTGCAGAGACAGAAGAAGCCAGCTAAAACACACCGCCTTTCAAAAGAGATCATCTGCCGTTATCTTTTGAGGCCTGTTTGAGCTTCACATAAGACTCTTGACTCTTGGTCATCGAACAGTTTGGTGGTAAATGGGATGCTGGGATATGGGATATGTGCGTTCGTGAGCACGGAAACTATTACAATGATGGTAACCCTGACATGGATGTAAATTGCTTTGTCGTCACCATTGATAATCTTTCTCTTGTTCATGCCCATGTCATCCCGCCGCCCGCTGGTGAGTGGCGACTGGCCGCCGTTGCCGCCGCCGCCGCTGCCGGGCACCGATTGGGGCCCGTTTCGTTTCACCTCGTTGTTTTATGGCTTCCGTAGATCGTGCGACCGAAGCGGTGCACCCTGGCCAGTGCCCCGGAAATCCCAACTCGGCAGAGCCCACCAAGCCCACCTTAGCTTCACTTTGCTCAAACGGCTTCCGGTTGCAGACTGCCAGACAAGCTGACCTGGGTGACTGACCTTGTCACATTGTAAGATCGTCAACCAGGTCTAGGGAGCCCAGTAGGGCCCCGGTTCACCTGAACGGACGACGCAACGAGAACCGATGACCAGGCAAGAAGTCGACCGTTCGTTTGCTCGTCGTCCGTTACCAGCCCCTCTTCGAAAAGGGGCGGGGCAAAAAAGAAAGGGAAAAAGAAAAAGCTACATATACAAGAGGAGAAAAGAAGCAGGACAAGGATTCGGATCCTCGTCACTTCATTCGGTACCATTCTTTCCTGTCCCTATCTCTTCGTAGGCGCGCACTTGCGTGGGAGATAGACGCCGCACACAACCAGGGAGCTAGGCTCACCAGGCAGGACAGGCAGGTAGGGATCTTGGAGTCGGCTTGTTCTGTTTTGAGTCTAGAGTCGAGAACAAGCTAAAAAGCTTCATGGTTCATGGGTATGCAACGCGGGGTTGTTCAAGTGATGTTTGTTCATGTTGACTTGACTTCTAATACAAGGGAGCCATCCAAGCGAGGCTCACGTGCTTGCAGGATAATTGTCAGAACTCCGCGGGCTTAACTTACCAACCTGGCGACGTTCGAGTTCGCGGTCTCCCTGGCTTCAGTCACGATACACAGCAGTAATAGCCTCGTGAATGGAGCCATGAGTAGAAGCGTCATCTCGTATGCAGGTCCGGAATCATCGAAGCAAGGTAATGCTTGAAAAGTATCGGAGTTTTTCCTTGGTTTCGCAGAAACTTGATCTTTACTTATTCTCTCCAATGCTGGGTTACTGTTATGAGAACGACGGCAGAGCGAACCATGATTTTGTTGTATACCGGAGTACGATGGGAGCCGGTACAAAAATCGGAGAATGACGCTCGGTACATGTCTCCCCCACCCCCGGTTCTTCCGTCCCGTACGAAGAGAGGGGGTCTCAGGAAATCGGCGAACTCGTCCAAGGGAAAAGCAGCAGATCGACGGTGTCCGAGTCGAGCAAATATCCATGGAAGACAACCCCACGTACCCCATCTTGAGCCGCAAGATAAAAGTCGATAGGGGGAGGTGGCACTCGCTTTCTGATATCTCCACATCTCCAGAATATCCTCCTTTTGGTGCTCAGCCTCTTTCCGGAATTTTTGCTCAACAAATGCAAAGCAGATGCGAGATTTTGGGAGATTTTCCCATCTCACATGCTGCGTAGCAGTACATGATACAGCCAAGACAAGCAGATGAAGGTTTGCCTATCTGGTATATGTCTCCGGGAGTGGGTATGTCTCCCGCAGTAGTCACCGTCCGGATTCCGTTTTGATCCCAGACCGTCTCCGCTCACCGCTTGAATCCACAAGCCGATCCGGACCGACCCACCCATCAAAACAAACCTCCCGTCCCCCTCATGACCCCAAGGTTTGCGCGATAGATGTCGGGACTGACAATGAAAGTACGATCGTACAAATAGTAGAGCCTTGGAAATGCGCCATGAAACAGTTCCACATACCTTCCAAGCGCCTCGACAGAGGATCGTTAACGTAAACCGGACCCGAGCCGCGCCGGGGAGGAACCAATTCCGTACTGTTAACGGCTCGTCAAAATCTTATCACGGCATGACATCTTGTTCCGTTTCTCTTCCTCTTCTCCTCCTCAACCCCGAACACGCTCCGAAAATGGCTCTTCCATGTCGTCTCACCACTCACCTGACAATGAGCCCACCGAGAGCTCGAAGATGCCCCACATCTGCAACGGTCCCGGCAACACAGCAGTTTTTACACCACTTTTTGGTTGCAGTAGTGGTCCTGCGCCCATGCTCTGCTCGCTGCATCCTCTTGCCTGCATGTTGCACACAGTTGGTCTTGGACGCTGCCGCTAGCCGATAGCTCAAACGCGAGCACCAACAGCAAAAATAATAATAAAAAAAAAGACCACCCCTCTTTTGCTCCGCTGATGAGAATTTTATGACCGAGCGGGTTCGAGAAATCCTGGCTCTGCGTAGAAATTCCGTACCTAGGGCTTGCCGTCACTGGCCGTTCACGCAAGCGCAATGCACCAGACACCAGACTAGATCAGACGAGATGCAGCTCTGGCTAGCGGGCCAGTATCAAAATAGATTGATCCAGAGTTCCGGGATTCGATCAAGGTGAAGGTGCTGCACGCCTGAACCACACACAATCACGAACATCGCGTCCTTTATCTCAAAGCCCAGCAGCTCGGCGGTAAAGAACTCGTAACTGACTGTTCAGAATGCCCGTTCAGAACCATCTCGAGGATTTTCTGGGATGAGCCAGTGATTGTATCCTTGGGTTTGACTGCAGAAGGCTTGCGCAAGCATTGGCGGCGGATATCCATCAGTGAGACTCGGTAAGCATGTGGGGTTTCGTTAAAACAACTCCTATGAACCGATATCAGACGGTTCCCGCAAACCGTTTGGGGAAACATCTCGCCGAAAGAATTATAATATTCTCTGTCCCCAGCTGAACCCTGTTGTTTGACGGGATCGCTGACTGAGCGTGGAGCTGGGGAAAAAAGATATGTTTCAGATTCATAAGATGCAGGAAAAATAGGGCCTGTAAGTCATCGTGTGCGTGATTGCCACAGAAACACCACGACGCAACCCCAAGGAGACAAAAGAGAGCGGGGTGGTGAAGTGATGGCACCCTGCACATCGTCGAGATGGCTGCCACCTGATCGCAAACAATAGGATCCCGAAGCCCTTGGAGGCCGACCTCGGTAGGTGGCCTGGAAGTTTAGAGGAATAGGCGAGACAGCCGCCCGAGAAGCTGAGAGACTGATGCACATTAACAACAAGCATCCAGCAGTCGAAACGTCACTAGGGTCGTCAAGAGCGTGCGGATATACTGGATAACGACGGACATAAACTCGCAAGAGGAGGTCTGCGCCGTTGGGTGGGATATTTGCCGTTCTGGGTCTGATACGGCCGCCACCATCCAGATCGATATCCAGGTCAAAATAAACTAAAAAAGGTCGCATGTAGGACCCTAGTGTTGCGCGATGTTGAGCCTCTAGCCACTAACCAGGAGACTGCACGGCGGGGCTCTTTCGATAGCTAAAAAGAAAGAAATAAAGCGTCTTTCGTATAGCTTGAAAACTAGATGGTGTTCTTTTAGGGTTTCTCGCGGCGAATTCCGAATGGTAGAGGCTGATAGTAGCGGGACCACTGATCTTCCACATTCACCAATACTAACAGCTCCAGAACGAACTTTCACCACCAGGCGCAGCTGGAGACGCTTCTAGGTAGCGCTACTCGGGTAGGACGAAGCGTAATCCAGAACTTTGGAACAAAGGCGGACAGAGATGGCTGACAAAGACGCGTAGCCCAATCGTAAGAGGGCCGGTACCACCGCCTTACAATATCGATTGGCTTATGTTGATCCTCCCATGATTCTTCAGTCCTCGCTTGCTGAGAGGCGGAGGACCTGAACGTCCACCATCCGGAAAACTTGCCGTCCGTAGTCGAAATACGGCTTGTGCTGAAACTCAACCCTTTGTGGCAAGACCAGCAAACGGCCGTATCAAGACGGTTGATCAAGTCAGTGTTGATGGGACTTTGGAAAGCGCCCGACGCCCATCATGTGGACAGGTAACAGCGGGGTAACCGATAACAGGCAACCCAAGCGATGATAGTCGCAACCGGGCATGAATTTGCGCAGGTAAAAAGTGTGAAAAAGAGGGGCTTCTCTCTGTCTTTTGAAAACGGGCGGGGAAAGAAAGGTCGTTGCAACATGACTGATCATAGTAGCTAGAATATCTGGCAGCTTGTTAGTCCTCGAATATTTGACAGACATTTCAAAGGTTATGTAAAGGTGAGGTGAATTGTCGCCGGCTCGATTGGATGCCATTCTGAAAACTGGAGCAAAGTCGCACGCTTTCGATTCTGTCGCTATCTGCAAGCACTCAGGCTGCATAACAGACGGCAGGATTTGGTGGGGCTCACCTTTGCTGTCTACTACTGTCGTACGTCTGTAGGGTTCAGACAGTGAGTGACAGCACCGGCACCAGTCACGGACGCCAGTGACCCCAGAGTTGTTGCCCAGACACAGCAATGCGCAGAAAAGCCATCCAAAAGGTCGCCTCCCTCGGACGGTGATCGTTCGCGGCGCGGCATGCGGAGAGCTAGCAGATGCGAGCCGAAAAAGGGACGCGTTTCGATGGATCCTAATGGTTCCTGTGGTCTACATATCTCGCGTGTCGGGACGGCAACAAAGGTGCCAATTCGGTGCCAGTTCCCAGCAATCGCGTCGCCGGTTGGTCGGGTTGGGTACAGATACCAGCACGGCCAGGCTTTGATGCGGGCCTCTTTGTATGCGGCCAGAGGCACAATCCATCTGGGCAAGTCGGCAGGCAGTCGAGCGGCGCCGATGAGTGGTCGACAGAAGCGGCGCTGATGCGGGAGCTCCGTTGGAGTTTTGCAGATGGTCCGGCTAGTGGGTCACGGTGCTGTAGCATGCTGTAGGTCCCAGCCACCGCATTTTCTGATTTCTCGATGCTCAATCACTCGCTGCTGGGAATTGCTCGCGGGCAAACTGATCCCCGAAAGAAACCGCAGATGGACCGCACGTCTCCACGGATTGGGGTTGGACAAAGTCGGCATTCTGGGCCCCTGAGCCGATCTAGGAACAAATCGGCAGGAAAACAGGGTGGAAGTGTGGAATATTGGACGAATGGAAAATCACCATCAAGTCGAATGTTTTGATGCAACAGCGGGGTGATGTTGACATGTGTAAGTGGCCATTGTCGCGGTCGTAATGTCGTTGCCGTTGTTGTTGTTGTTATTGTTGTTGTTGTGATGGGGAAATTGCAGCGGACGAGGAGGAAACGTGAAGGAGTTTCGCTGCCTGCCGCGCCCAGCAGTGGAAATGAAAGGGAAGCTGGAGTACGTACCGAGTCATGTGACTTATATAACGAAAAACTGCTCTTGGTCCGGCATTTCGACTGACACCCGACTGGCGCGGGACAAATGCGGAGCTTGGGGATATTTCAACGTACCGTATCGGCCAACTGTACGTAGAGCCCGGCATCAACGACGACCCTTGCAAGCGCACTTGGTCAGTTCAACCGAGGAATGACAATCGTCTCAAGAATGGCGATGGAAACTCAACACTATCCGAGTCTCTTGATATGTCCGAAACCCAGCAGTTGACAAACCGACATCGTCCAGTCCCGATTAATCCACTCCGATCAATCGAATAAGTATCTCGAGGCCGGATGCTGCTGCACTGTAGGCACTGATGATTGTCGCGGTGTTGTTGCTGCTCGCACTACGGCTTTGCGTCCTCCGATAGACCACCAAGCCCAACAAGCACGCAAACAGTATGATCTCTTTTCATCTGAATATGAGGCGGTATTCCTTGCCAGGACACATTGACAACTTCACGGCATTCGAAAAAGTTTACTTCCCAGCCTGGACGATACCTATGCGGCCTTGAACAATATCCTTCTGATACCATCTCCCAACCTAAAACCAGCCTTCTCATTCCCCATGTTTCAGCAAAATCATACCACTGGTCCGAATGGGCAAGTGAGGTGATCACGACCCTCCCGCAGGACCTCGTGCATCTGTCTCCGTTCTGAAGGTCTCAGTACCCGGATTCGCTGGCCTATCAGTGTCGTCCCCCTGGGCTCTGTTGATGGGGATTCGCAGACTCGACCGACGAACGCAACAAACACTGCCGTGATACTGCGACAGTAGCGGATGCCATGCCCACCACCCGTTGTTGCTGCCGGTCCTGGTGCTGCCGGGCATGACAGCGATAACTTTGGATGACGAGAACCCGTTCGCATCAAAACGGACCCGGGCCTTTTCGCACCAGGTGGATGGCCGGGCTGCCAAGTTGGTTGCTACGCCGTATTTCTTGCATATATGCCAGGGGCAGAACTTGGAATCGTCTTGAAGCAAGGAGCATCATGGCACATGTTTGTACAGACGGCTGGTCGAATGCCCACATGCGTTTGTTTATACAGAGGCGTTTTGCCGGGTTTACCACACAGTCCGGGCATGTTGATATAACACCGCGATTGCGGCTCCTTCTCAACAACTAGTCTAGGGGTTCAAGATCTTGTCTTGACCAACCCAAGGAGGGAGTCAAAGAAACAGATATCTTCCTTTCTGCCGGGCCCGGTCTGGATAGGCATTCAGCCTTGGACAGCTCGGTTTCGATGAGCAAAAGGAAAAGCGACTTTTCTCAGCTCCGCGAGGTATCATACCTCGTACCAAGCTAGGCACTTCCCTTGCAGTCTCCAGACTCCCTCGGTTCCCATGCTCGCCACCCCACACGCTTACCTTGAGTTGGAGAAGACATCACAAAGAGGCTTGGAGGCTGAGATGCACAACTGAGAAGTGGCTGCTTTGGGCGGTGCGGTCATTCAAGTGACGATGAGGACTTGAGCTGAAAAGCACTCTTGACAGCCTTCTGACAGGTCTCTGCCGGCCGGCACTTAGGCCCTTTCGAATATTCCCAGCCCTAGAATTTGGTGCTGTTGTTGATGGTGTACGGCAAAAGTTGGGGGTGGCATGGGGACTGGCAGGTCACTGGTGTCTTTGAGCCGCGTTTTGGGTATCGATGCCCACCCGGCCATTTCTGCCCAACCCATTCTTGAGGGAGCCTTCTCATCCACTTGTGTTCCCGGTTTTGATGGGGCCGTTCTCCGTCCGGGAAGCACCCGTATCACTCGTTTTTGCAGTGGCTGACTTCCTCACAGACGAGCCATCTCGGTTTCTTGCCGATTCTACACCCCCTGACCGTCTCCCGATCCTTCTCGTTCCAGCCGTTGGGCTAGTTGAGCTGCTCAGAGTCGTCCCAAGACCTTTCGATGACGAGCCTGATTCGATTTGCTGAGTGATGGGTGATACAGTTACCCTTCTGCCCTTACGCTCCCAAGCCCTGTACGCTATGCCCAAATCCGACCCCCCTAGCGAGGCAGGCTTTACGGTTTGGGGGATGGACTGTCCCGATTGGGAATAGCTTTCAGCGAGGAGCTCCATATCCGCCTCTTAATCCAGATCGCGCAAAAGTTCCTAGCTCCCGTATCAGAATCTCTCCACCACATCCGCACAGCATCCGCACAGCATCCGTTCAGTTCTTTGCTCAAGAGGGCTTGGCAAAACGGAGAGTAACGGAAAGACACAGACACCCGACTCGATCCTGCTGCGGGCTTTGGGTGGAGGTGCGGCCAAGTCCCTTGCTGCTTGAGCGTGAGTGTTCTGGATGTCTTGCTCGTCCAACGTCTCCAGGCTACGTCGTGTTCTACAAAGTACTTTCAAAGACCCCGGTCCCGTCAACCGGCCCCTCTTCCCAGTTGTCGCACCCCCTCATCGCTGCTCGGCGAAGATGTCCTCTTTTTAGTTTACCCCCATGGAGCAACAGAGAAGCAAACCAGCGCCATCCTCCGCAGTCCCAAGATCCATCCACAATTCCACCACACATCCACCCTGATGTACCACGAGACTTTTGCGATCCAAGACCCTGCCATGTTCATTCAATTGGGCAGATCCGTCACGTCGCAGCGGCCGGCCTGACCATGGCCGACCAGACCACACTGACCACAGTCTTAACATCAAACATAGAATAAGTAAAGGGCACCACCCCCTCTGCCCACCGTCTCAATCCCAAAGTCATTGATTGACTCTGTAAAGATCGTTATTTGCCCAAAGCAGCATTGCGCCTGCCTTGACCCTGACTTTTTGTCTATTTACTTTCACTTCTTTCGTTTTTGTTTTATCGCTTCTCGTGGTGGTCTGTGACTCCCGAAGAACGCGCCACTCTCGTCTTTACCCTAACGACCACAACAACCACATCCCGTCAACAACAAACAATCAACCTCAACAACAACCACCGACCAGCCTGATAACCCCTCTTTCCACGGACGGCAGCGCAGTGCAACTTACACAGGGAACAAAAAGTGTGAGTGAAGTGCCATTCCAATTCCTCACGTTCCTTTTTGCACACCCCCTCACTTTCTTCATTTGCAATCTGCGACGGTACCCTCGCCCTTTCCTCCCGTGTGTCTTTTTGGCTCTTCACACTTTCCCTCTTTCGCTACTCCCTGGCTGTGCTACCCTGAGGCCTGGGTACTGTAGTCTAGTGGTGTATCCCGACTCCGGCTTCCACTTTGCCTTCCCACCCCGGCTTTCTCTTCCCCACTACCAAGCCTACCTACCTAAAGGTAGACTTCCTATCGACTACCTACCTTGCGCATCTCACCTTCCATCTTATCCTTCAACATCATATCATCTCCTCGTCTGCTCCCCTCCCTTCGTTCTTCATTGCTCTTTCATCTTTTTATCTTCCCCCTTCAAACTTACAAGGCAATATACCAACTGCCTCTGAAGCCAACCACAACCCACCCCCACGCACAGACAGCCCTTCAGGTGTTTGACAGAGACGGATCCGAACCTGGGTCTTCCCGTACACCTTGCCCTGCTTCCCGGCTTCCCACTGCAGACCTTGGCCACCCAGACACACAAAGCGGGCGCTTTCCATGCTTCTGCCCTCACCGCTTCGCCGTCCCAGCCACAGGCACTGACTCGGCCATATATCAGAAAGTTCGCACACAAAAACAATAGCGTAGGAAGAGTAAAGATTCGCTGCGTGTTTTGCAAAGGAAAGAACCACCTCGTTCATCCCTACCACGAGCACATCCAAATAGCCCACCATGGGCTCAGCAACCTTCCAGCAGCCCTCCTACTACAGGACACCGCCGTTGAACGTCGATACTTCCTGCCATGGTCAGAAATTCTTCGACGATGATGAGATCCTAGACGATGACATCCTCAACCAGAGCACCCTCAACTCGGCTTTGGAGATGTCGCCGCCCTTGACCGACAGCAGGAGGGATTCGTTTGCTGTCTCGGCAACTGCCTTGTTCTCGCCCAAGTCGGATGATTCCTGGCCTCCTGTCGAGATGCAGAGCGTCCCGTCCAACAACCCCTTTTTCGGTCAGCACAACAACAACCCCTTCATGCAGATGGACCAGAACCAGCAGTCAACGTACCAGAACCACTGGGGCATGATGAGCTCGGGCGCCGCTACCCCTCTTCAGAGCTTCGATGGACTGCCGCAGGCCGAGTACGAGTCATCGATTGTTCCCCTGTTCAGACCCGCTACCGTTCAGGCTCAGACGCCCTTCAGCAATCCCAACAACCAAGCCGTCATGTTCCAGCAGCTTGGCCACCATGGCATCCCGGCCGTTCCCGCGTCGCCTCCCAAAGAGCATTGGATTAACCAAGAGCTCAAGAACCAGGCGATGGCCAAGCGCAACAGGCCGACTACCCCGCTGATCCGCTCTCACAACGAGCTGCGCCGGGGTGATGGCATCCGCAAGAAGAATGCGCGCTTCGACATCCCTGCTGAACGCAACCTCAGCAACATCGATCAGCTGATTGCCCAGTCCACCGACGAGCAAGAGATCAAGGAGCTCAAGCAGCAAAAGCGTCTGTTGCGCAACAGGCAGGCCGCGTATGTTTCCCCTTTTCACCAAGTACTTGCGGATTGGACCATCCCATACTGACCCACCGAACAGTCTTGACTCGAGGCAACGCAAGAAGCAGCACACGGAGCGTCTCGAGGATGAGAAGAAGCACTTCACTGAGGTTATTACCAACATGGAGGAGCAGATGAATGCCCTGCAAAGAGACATGGACCAGCTTCTCCGCGAGAAGCAGAGCTACGAGGCGTACATCAGCGAGCTCAAGAACGAGAAAGAGGAGATCATCCGCGAGCACACCATTGAGACGGGCGAGTTGCGCAAGAAGGTCAACGTTCTGACCAACCACGTGCAAGCCCTCGAAAGCGCCGCAATGTCGACACCGCCGGCCGGCCCGAACGTGTCCGGCTTCCCCGGTGCCTATAGTGAGATGGAAGGCATGGCCATGGATGGCTCTTGGGACAACATGCCCATGTTTGGCGAGTTCACCATGGAGCAGCAGCCATCCGAGGTCAAGCAAGAAATGCAAATCGCTCCCAGCAAGAAGTCCGAGATTTCCCTTTCTGCCGAGAGCGAAAAGTCTCCTTCGCAGGGCGGACTCCTTTTCATGCTGTTCCTTGTCGGCGCTTTCGTTCTTTCCAACCGATCGCCGCCTAGCATTCCGCGGGTGTCTGAGGACATCCGTGTGGCATCCGCTACCCTCCTCGACAATGTTCTCAAGGACGCTGGCTTGCCTCAGGCCGCTTCCGGTCTCGAGGCCATGGCTCCTCGGCCATCAGGTTCTAGCTGGGCCCAAAGCACCGGGTCATCGTTGCCAGTCGCCGCCTCTGGCATGAATGGTGTGGCACCTTCGATGCTCGGTGAGATGGCTGACGCCTTGACTCAGCCGACGGAGCAACAGACCAACGAGCAGCTTTTCGGGTTGACGGCTGCGCAATACAACGGCATCAGCTCGCAAGATTTCCTGCAAAATGCTCCCGCCGAAAGGTCCACGAGCAAGGGCAGACGCAATCTTGCCGAAGCGCTTGCCAGCATGCGTGCTGCCGCCAACAAGGACTCTGCCGCCGAGGTCTACACTCGGTCACTCCTATGGGACAAGATCCCCCGTGACGTTGTGCGTGACTTTGCGAAGATGGTTGCTGAAAGCCAACAAGTTGCTGCGACCAATGATGCAGATGCATAAAGTGGTGCGGTTTTATGATGATGAGATATAAAATGAGACGAGACGAGACGAAAAAAAAAAACTTTGACGACACTTTGACGAGTACCAATTACACGGCATTCGGAACGACAGCACGACAGTCATGAAGCACCCGATTAAGATTGCGTTCCTTGGGTTTTCCTATTTTCACCGGTCTATATGGGTTTTTCCGGCTTCCCATCCTTTCGGCTTTTCACTTTTGATACACTTTCTCCGCTCTCGCGACACACTCAGACCTTTGCTGCTCACGCACCCAAAGCTGTTTTGACTTCTCGCGATCCCGCACTGGTCCCGGGACGCTCAAACTCTTTTCTTATTTTGTGTTCATCATTCCTATTCTACTTTACTCTTTGGATCATTGTCGATTTTAGCAGGCGAGCATTGCTTTTTTTTCTTGCTTTTTTGGCTTCTGGCTTTGATGTTTTGGCGATTTTTCACCCTTATCTCACGATTAATGTGTTGTTTTGGATATTGGCGCAAGCGATCTTCTGGTGTCTACTGCGTAACCCTTGCCGAAAGGCTGGCTTGGCGGGACATGGCGGGACATGGCGGAAAAGGGGCGATCCCCGGGCTTGATTTCTTTTGGACACACTTGAATTGGAGGGGGGCGATGGAATACTCGCTTTCTAATGTTCTTACACTTGTACAAAGAGCTTTTTTTACGTGGGGCGAGACTTTTGGCGGATTTGGGCCCGGTCTCTCGGACATACATCTCTTTTCTTCTCACGAAAAATTTCAGGGGGTTCTCATGGCGGTTTTGGGATATCACAGCAACACATATACGGGTCATCGACTTGTCGGGAAACCAGACGAGGATGGTTTACCGGTTGCGACTTGCATGTCTTACGACACAATCTCTTTTCCTATGTATTATTCTACGATCTACGACACTCTTTATGAACGAAACTTTGGTCTTCTGTCCATCATGAACTCTGGCAGAGCCTTGGATGAATGAAGAGGGATGAAGGGACATGAAGAAGATTCTCGGATTGAATGCGGATTGCTCATGAAACTGCGACCGTCATGTCGACGAGGGCCACTTACGGCGGCGGCACAAAAACCGCTTCACGGGTTACAACATGCAAACTTGAAGACACAACATACATTGACGCGGAGGCTCACTAGCTGTGGGTTTTCAAAGAGGCCTTTCGGCCACTGCCAGAGGGAGGAGGGAAAACAACAAAAGATCCATACCCGACATTCATTGGAACGAACAAACACCTGTTTCCTACACTCAATCCTGTAGCTAGTTAGCGAAGTTCACATAGCGAAACATTCAATGCGTCTGAAGCCCAAACCCTTTGCTCTCAATGAATCTCAAGTGCCGTTCGCTATACGAACAGATCCAAGTCGCCGATTGTATCCCCCTTACGCAACTTTCTCTTTTTGCGGCACAAGGTGCTACGTCAGTCGTCATGGGTTGATAGAACACTGGTGCAGGAGACACGAGACAGGCCAGGCATTCTGAAGCGTCGGTCGGTCGGCCATCTCTTTGACATCCGTGACTGTTGTATTAGAAAGAACAAAAAAGGCGCCAAACACCAGAACAGGCTTTTATCACTGTCCGAACCTCCAAAACATAACAGATGCCTACTCGGTATCTACTTTACCCCAAGTCGAAGTCTCTTAGCTGAAAAAATGAGAGGTTTGACCCGGCTCGGTGTTCATGTCCAGTTAGCATAGTTGATCGGTTGCTCGGTTAGTTGTTGAGAGGGTGTGTGAATGGTGTCACGCCATGCCATTACCATACCCCCATTCAAATGTACCATTGGTTATAGTCCTCGATATTATACACAGTACTACACATTCTTTGATCACACATCACATGTTGACTCTGGAAACCTAAAACTTGTTTGTCCACGAGCTCTATTCTTCCGCTCTATCATCTCTTTTACTCCCTTACCTAGAGGTTAAGACAGCACAGCCAAGACGGCAGGCATTGGCTCGTTGGTAGTCTCGATATTCTTATTGTGAGTAAAGTACCTTCTTCTCTCCCAAACCTAACCAATAATGTCTGACGCCATCCCACCATCTCATCCCATCTCACCCATTCACGATCCTCTTTACCAGCAACAACCGAGTCCAATTCATCCATTCAGATGTCAATCCCACGCTCCCATGCCATGCAATTAATTAACTCGCACTCCCTAGTGCCGTCATTCTTAAGGAAGGAGAAGTGTTCCCACGCATTTGCGCAGGTTCGACACTCACACTTGCACCCACACCTCACACAATGCAGGCAAATGCGGAGCGGATGCCAGAAAGCAGCATGCAACGCCAATGCAAGGATCCATACTTCAACGTTGGTTCGACAACCAGTTACATACGATGATGAAAGAAAAGAAGGAAACAAAACCACTGTTGCACCAAAACATGCCAGCCGAGCTGCCGCCGTTGTTGTATACTGTACTTTTTTTCTTCCGTGATTTTTACCGGGCTACCTAACTAAGTAGATATCATCAACTTCTTCGCAAAAGCTACTGCAATGCGAGCGGAAAATCCGGGGTTGATCCGCTCGGTTGTTGAAACAGAGTGAAAGTTTCCCAACGGCGATTCGATAGGGTGATTCAAATGACCTTGACTCGTGTGCAGCCTTGTGTTCGTCGTGCCTTTTTGTGCCATTATGCTCTAAAGTAGTGCACGCAAGGAACGCAAGGAACGCGCAAGGGGCAATGCATCACTCATTGGTAAGTGTAAGTGTACGGTACATTTTCTTGGGTATCGAAGAGGGGATTGGATAGGTCGGGGGTCTGCCAATTCACACCGACCCAAAGATAAGGTGGAAGAGATCGCGATCGCGAGTTGTAACTGTCCGAATCACAATGGTTCTGTGTCTGCCTTGGGTTCTGACAATAAGCCAGGAATCTATGGGCCTGTATTCCTCAATAAGAGGGCTGAGGACCGCTTGAGGAGGGGTGGCGTGACCATCCCGTCTTTGGGAGACTGGAGTCATTCGTTGGAGGTGCCTCAGTCTTGTGGGTTGATTCGTTCCTTCCTCCCGGTTCCTTTTGTAAGACTGGACCACAAAGGGACGGAACAGACGAAGGAACTGAGCCACTCGCACACACAGACGCAGACAGATATCTATGACTGAGGCAGGAAGAAAGGAAGGAAGGAAGGAAGGAAGAGGGAAGGAAGGAAGGAAGAGGGTAGAAAGTACCTCTACTGATCGAAACCACTAGGCAAGTGAGGCGATTGGGCAGCAATAGGATTTGATTGGTTGGGAATGTTTCCCGTTCTTCCCAACCTCATTAAGTTGTTATTATAGGCATTGTCCCAATGTCCCGTTGTCACGGCGCGAGCCTCGGTTTTCGGTCGTCAACACGGTCGGGCTAGGTCAGGTCAGGTCAGGTCAGGTATATCCAACCCCCCCTTTGACCTTGCCGTTTGTCTCGTTAGATGAGGTCGGCGACGCGGTCCCCATGTTCCATTCATCAGCAACTAAATTCCCGGACGTCTTCCACCATCTTGGTAAGCGAATTGCAGTAATCATCCCAGCCCGAGGAACCAACAAGGGACCTCCGATCCGACATCATCTCGCGCTGGAGCCCGAAGCTGGAGGAGTGCTGACCAAACTCAACCGAGGCAAGGACGCAAGGAAGATTCATGGAAGGAATGGGGGAACAAGTTGTCTGAGACAATGCTACAAGCGCTGCATGTCTAATGACTACGATGATCTACCAAACATTGTAGACGTTGTGTTCCCTCAATCTCAAACATACGTGCTGTTGTGTTACAGTGTGCCAGGTCTGCGGGTTTCCGTCACGGTATACCTATCTACCTGACCTAACTTTGGAGAAGGAAAAAAAAAGGCTCGGAAAAATAAAGGAATATCGGACACAGGGAAGCTCCGGTATCAGTATTCGACCATCGGTTAAGCACACAGACACACGCGCGGGAGAGCTTGAAGGAGAAGCATTGTCTCTCAATATTTGCCCGTTTAATATCGAGCTTCTTTCCAATCACATGGAGTGACAACTGACCAAAAAGTATCACTCGGTGTCGTCGAACCATTTGTTCAGCCTCAGAAGCCCGTATTCCTTTGCAAGCAATGCCCTCTCGCTAAAGGCACGCAAGGAACGATCCATGTCATCCATCATCACAGGTTCTACATCGTTCCGGTTTCCAGGGCCTTATTGTTATGACGGCACGCACGCCTTGTGTCCGAAGCATTGTCTAACGTCATGTCATACAGGGACCGTCCAGTCTTGTGGCCCTTGGTCCATGGGGAGGTTGTTGTCGTACATCTATCTGCCTCGTATCCGGCTGAGTATGCCTGCTCAATAGGGGCCTGAGGGTAGGTGTCCATATCACACCCACCATTGTGCCTTTGCCCATTACATCGTTCATCCACACGTACAAATATTAACGAACTGTTAGAAATTCGCTCTCACCGCGAGTAAGGGGAGTTGCAAAACCACGGCTACACCCAACTGGCTGAAGGCAGTCAGTCATTTGCATACCACTGGCTATAGTGATGGATATAGACTGCCGGCTTTGCCGCCGCACTGCCTCCCGCAGCGGCAAGATTAGCTCAGGCTCTACTTGCTGTGACTGTGAGCCCTAAGATGCCATCGTTAACATCTTTAAGTGTTGGGGTACTACGCCCGTCAGAACAAAGGAGAACAGAGTACCTTCCCTTCTTCCTCCAGGACGACCAAGCCTAGCGCTTTGCTATTCACAGCAAGGGCACGGCAGTGATCGTACGGTGTGTTTCGGTGTCACCGAAGCACGGAGACATACGACTACGAGCCGGCGTACTGCATACCGCAGAACCTGGCGGAGCCGCTGAGGCTTCACTCCCGTTATCTATCAAGGTAGATCCTTTTTTGAGTTTGAGAAGCTTGTCTGACAAGAAGAGCAGGTGGTACCGAGCAGGAAATGGATTTTTGCATGAACGCAAACGCCATCGAAGGAAGGAAGGGAAGGAAGTGGGATATTCCATCGGATGTTCTCCAATCTTGCTCTCGCAGGGTGTTGCCCTGAGGTAGTGCATGCTGAGAGGCGCCACTGGCGCCCGATGAACGAGTGAAACCTAAAGGTATGGTGGTAAATGATGATGGTTAGACAATTCTTTCACGGAAGACCGGGCTCTTTGCACCACGAGCTCGGTCTGAGACCAATACCCAGATCGTATTACCGACGCCTCAAGCACAACAATGGGCCATTTTAAGCGACCGCAGCTGAGTGAATGCGTGATCATAACATAGATGAGTGTGTCAAACAGAGTGGGCGAGATGACCGCATTTACTACTTGAACGGGAGCGCATTTGAGAGTGTTCGGTCAGAAGATGTCAAGGCGTAAGCTAAAGAGTATGTCGTCGTCGTCTCTGAGATTGCGTACTCTAGCGCCCAGGGACCATGGGCGATGATAGACAAAAGGGTCAGAAAAAGGGGCAAGTAAACAACATGGGGGAGGACTGGGGTGCACACAACGAAAGCTCGGTTGGTCAAAGCTTTTGTCGATCAAGCGACCAACTCGAGCGAAGGCATCCCGACCCAGAGCCCTCTTTCTCTCACTCACACGCAAACGCTCCGTTACTTTTCGTCCACTGCACACTGCAATCAATCCCCACGCAATGACAGAATCAATGCTTCTGCAGACAACATTCTGGATTTATTCGCGGAAATAATCAACCAGATATGCTAGCGTTAGAATCCTGCCGCGGCCCCTCTGCCCCACCTGCACGTAGTTTACGTCTTACGGGGGAAAAAATAGACCCCTCCTCCGTTTTCTTGTCTACTATGCAGTACATCTTGTCTCCACTACACCTTTCCGTCCGCGTTCTCCTCCGTTCACATTAGTACCCCCCGACTCCAGCGGAACCCGAACATCCACCTTTATTTGCATCACGGGTCGGGTCCGCCGTATGTACCTACCGCACCGGAATCGTGTATGGATATCGATGGATGTGTGCGGTGCGGGCGCGGTGACCTCGACCGGCCATGCCCCCAACAGAGTCAGCAATAACAGACAAACAAGTAATCATCAACGACCCAGCCGTTTTGTCGTCCGATCGAAGCCGATCATATGAGTACATAGGTGTCGACACTCTGAACCGGAACCGATTCGATCACTGACCGAACCATATCACCAGTCACCATTGTAAGTACCAAACATGAAACGTCGGGCCGGCACCGGGCATCGCACCGGGCACCTCGGACCACACCACCGCTCTCACCACATGGCGGGGGGAATCGGGAGACCGACCGACGCGACCCAGAATGACGGGTAAGGCAGTCGCATATCGCATCGGAAGTGATCGACCACCGAACTCTCACAGCGAACCTCTTCAG